AACTGAATTGAAATGAGATCACATGCGCATTGATGGTTACATTAACATATCTGCTATAGTTCAACTACCCCAGTAAAAGTGAACTTGATTATTCCAGATAGTTTCTACAAACCAATCCAACAAATAAACAAAGCATCACACTTTGCTATTTCACCTTTAAACATGCTTATGTAAACAGTTTAAAACCTATTATTGGAAAATCCAAATTGTACACAATTTAAATATTTATGATAAATAGTTATTTAATTTGAATCAGAATGTTTTTCCTTGAAAGGTAATTTTACAAATCTGGACTTCTACAAGGCAGAAACTGTATAAATAGCTTTGCAGATTTCCAAGTTTGTGTTATGGCTGTGTGACAAGACTTGGGACCTGTGACAATATAACTTATCGGTTTGTATTCCTGTCTGACGAGTAAATTAAATTTTGATGTACAAAAACAAGGAAAGATCTCCTCACCTGCAGAACCTATCCTTTTGTTGTTTACTAGACAAATAGTAAATTGTGGTTCAAAAATATTCTGTTTACAACCATAGCTAATAAAATAATTGGTGGCAAACTTTTCAGAAGTTTGATGGAAATATTTTGAAAGACTCAAAACAAGCCCTTTAGCTATCATTAATTAAGAAAACACAAAGTTGAACTCCTCAAGGCTATTTCAGTTTAATTGCATATTAAATATTGATTAGTGAACTTTATATAAAAGTATCTTATCACAAGTGAAGATAAAACTAAAACCATATAACATTATCAACATTATTATTTTTTATATGCTGTGTCTTCTAAGTATAAAGTCAAACTTCAGGAACTGGCTTTATGGGTCAAATAAAATTAAAATTTTGAATAACAATTTCTCAAAAATTGCCTTGTTAGCGAGATATCCGCCATTTTGATCCACAGTAGTCAAACGTTATATCTCTAAAACTATAAAAGATATCATTATGCAATTTGGTAAGTGTTTTAAAATAGCAATACACAACTTGTAAAAAAATAATCATTCTACAATTTTATGTTGTTTCAAAATAACAGCCATTTTGAAAAAAAAAATTATTGCATGATTATTTTTTCACCAATACTTCATTCAAAAATATGGACCCAACTTCATGACTTTGTATCTCAAAAAGGTATAAATAAGGCAGAATTATGTATGAATGAACTTTACACCACTCAAAAGAGGAAATTTGAAAAAAATTTCAAAATTTTCTTTACTATAGTTTCGTAAACAGCCGAACAAGTTATCGCAACAATGGGCAGCCGTTTTGTTTTACCATCAGTTGTTAGTAAGATGGCTATGCAGCATAAGATTTTCTGTGTGATAGAGTTTGCAAAAACAGAGTCTCCTATTATAGTGCAGCGGGTTTTTCACCTTGAATTCGGTATTGAACCACCGACTAGAAAAAGCATTACTCATTGGTTTAGGCAATTTCAATAAATTGCAGCTGTGCATTCCGTGATACAAGAGATGATGTCTTGTTTATGGGAGAAATATTTCGCTATCGCTTAGATGTTTGCCTTGCGGCCCAAGCAAACATTGAGCATTTGTAATAGGTGTAAATAAAATTTAGAAATTTTCTCTTTCTGTGGAAAACTAAATTAAAACTAAAAATTAATTAAAACTTACTAAATAAGTGTAAAGCTTATTTTTTCCGATTTATGCTTTTTGAGATACAAACTCCTGAAAGTGGGTCCATATTTTTGAATAGCCCTGTATTTTAAAACACATACTGAATCTCATTAAGATATTTTTAATCATTTTAGAGATGGCGGCGAGTATGAGTTTAAAAGCAAATACTACCAGAAATTATTTTTCCTTTCTTTTTAACTTATTTTGGTCGTGATTACTTCCACTCAGTTTTCTCTAAGGAAAAGAAATAATATTCAAATCAACAATATTATTCATTAAAAACACTTCAGCGAAACCGATATTATGTGTTTTTGTTTTATGTATGTAATATCTTCCTTCTTCTTCCCTTTAGAGAAAAAGGCCTCGAGAATTGAGATTTAAGACGGAATTATAAGTAACCAAATATACATCTTATGAATAGGAAATGCACTGAACAACAACAACAACAAACTTAGAAACCAAAGATGGAATCAAGAACAGTAAAGTCCCATAAACTTGGCACCCGATAACCCAGCAGTTTAGATTGTTCAGCGACCCTAGTAAAGAATTTTTATGTAATCACATCGATAGGTATGTTGTACATTGCCTTTGTCATTTGGACTTGGAATTACTGTAATTAGTGATAATTAAAGAGAGTTATTTGAGTCACACTTATCTGAAAACCAGAGCGCTAGCCAGTAAATATAAGTCTGCACCATTACCTTAAATTTGATGGGAAAAGGTAAGCACCATTTATTTTTCTATACAAGTTGAATTTATGTATTTCAATGTGTTGGGGTTGTAAAACCATGTAATATCTAGTAAATGTGTTGGTTGCAATTTTATTGGTTCAGTTTTGGTTATGTTTAAATTTTTTCACTTGTCAGTTTATGGTTATTTTTGTTTTAAATTGATTAAATTTAAATACTAAATAGATTAAATAGTTTTAATTATGGTCACTTATATTTTACCCTGAGCCGTTCCCAAACTTTTTGGTCTGACGACCCACTTATAAATTAATAATAATGGGCTATAAATTGTATTATTATAAATTTACTAATATTAACATGTACACTGAGAAACACACAACTAAATAGAAACTGTGAGGATAATGTCATTGAAGATACAATATCCAGTTCAAAACACTATTATTTTAGAAACTTTAAATGATTTAAAATTTAAGCTTCGGCCTATTATTTACGAGAGACTGTATCTGGATTGAATGGTGACAACTATTGACGGGTAAATCCGTTATGATTCATACAATAAATATTTTTTTTTTGCTCAACATTTTTAATTTTGATAGAACTTTTATAAAATGTTAACTGTATTTCCCTTCAGAATTTTTTTTAGCCATCTTTGTTAGTACAAAATCCGCGTTTTTGAAAAAAATCTTTGTTTAATAGATGTTACATATCTTATCTATTAAGATATCAGGACAAATTAAAAACCAAAATATTCAGCATAAAATGGGCTTCAAATTAATACATAATTAAATGGCATAAGTATTTAATAAGTATATCAAATGCAAAAACCGAAAAAAGTTTTTCAGTGGTGAAAATATTGTTTTCCATACAATATGTTTAAAAGAAAAAATAAATTCTGACCTTAAATATTATTTTTATTTTCAAGCAGCCATACAAGACAGTCTAAATCTCAAGTTTTAATCATAAGAGTGCTGTCGTTGTTTGTCTATAGATCTATAAATATGGTGGATTGTCCGATTTTTGCCATTATCGAGATCTTATATCACAAAAGGGACTGAACCAAAAAATATCAAATTTCTGTCATAAGCACTTGTAGTTACTGTATTATGTATAAGTTTGATCACTGAGACTCATCTAGTTTAGAAGATATGCCACATCAAAATTTGACGAAAACAGCAAAACCGCTAGTAAGCATTAAGCATGTATTGACAAGAAATAAAACAAAAGTAAACTTCTTTTCGTGGTTTGATTACAAAAAGTATGTTATTTATGTGAACATTTTGTCATGTGACTGAAGAGGTGGTAGTCGCTGAGAGCCAGGTCTGGGCTGTATGGAGGATGTAAAAAAACATCCCATTTGAACTGGTCCAAAAGGTCCTTGGTTTTTTGGGCAGTATGAGGACGTGCGTTGTCATGCAGAAGGACGACACCAGACGTTTTGGATCGCCCGTCTCAGGTTCTTCAGCGTTTCAACGTACGAATCCGCGTTGATTGTTGCACCATGTTCCATAAACTCAACCAGCCCTTTGGTTTGTGTGGCGATGCCGTATGACCCCACAACTTGGACTGTTCTTTAGTCTCAGGATTCACGTATATGACCCAGGTTTCATCTCCAGTCACAATTCGGTTCACAAAATGTTCTCCTTCCTTGTCGTATCGAGTCAAAAAGTCCAGAGCCGGGGTCATTCTTTGAGTCTTGTGGTTTTCCGAAAGGATTTTTGGGACCCACCGAGTACAAAATGTATAGTATAACCTGTCAGTCACAACTTCTTACAGAACAGTCCTGGAAATTTGAGGAAATTCATCCGAAAGTTCTGAGATGGTGAATCGTCGGTTATCACGAACCTTTGCGTTGATTTTCTCAACCAGTTCATCACTGACCACAGATGGCCTGCCACTTCTTTCTTCATCATGCACGTTTGTTCGGCCATTTTTAAACGAGCGAACCCATTCCCGAACAACTCCTTCACTCATTATTTTAGGTCCATACACAGCACAAAGTTCTCTATGAATAGCTGCTGCCGAATACTGTTTAGCTACGAAAAACCGAATCACAGCGTGCACCTCACACTTGGCGGGATTAACGATTGCAGGCAAAAAAACTAGCACTCGGACGACCTTCACACTACCACGGCTGGACGCCGACTGACCTGCGATACGCGCAGGAGCAAAAATGGCGGCGCTAACCCCTCTATTTCCCGTGCAAGAAACAAACGGAGGTTATTTTCCGAACTGCCCTCGTATGTAGTGTTTGATCACATGGATGGAGAACCAGTCTGTTGGAGAGAAAAACAGCCGATCACCTTTGATTTTGAAGAGCTCTCTGAGGCTAAAAGGACAGCTTTTGGCAATTTGGTAAGAAGGATCTGACTGGCATTCATCAGATGCTTGAATCTGTAGGGTCTATCAATAAAACAACTTCCTGGGGTGCGCAACAATTTGACTATTCGGATGAAGTGCTTTATGGTTCTGGCCTGCTCCTGCATGATGAAGATAAGATTGCATTTATTCCCAAAGGAAACAGCCATGAAAACCGACAACCGACTTTGAAATCCAACCCATCCTTAGTAATATATTTTTCCCAACAACCTAGGTCTTCTGGACCTTCCGTTGTATAGGCCTTCCAGTCCACAAACACTGAGTTTGAAGGACTGTACTGCAAACAAAATAAGGAAGAATCTGTTACTTACATTTTTAACATCAGTGAAGATCCAACCACAGAAACTGAGCTGAGAGCCATGGCTGCTGATGCCATCCACGGCTGAAACAATAAACAACAATTTGGAACATTTGACTAAGGTGAAATCCTCGTATTTAATTTTCTTATGCAAAAATCTAAAAATGTAACAATTTTGCCCTTTTAGTCTAGTAATATAGTTTATCTAAACAACTGAGGACTGTGTAAGACATGGGCTGTAGCCTGGGTGACAAGAATCAAGAATCAAGAAGTTTATTGGCCATTAAATACAATATACAAGAATACATTGGCGTACAATAGGTTTCGTCAAAAGGCTTTGATACAAAAAATCTTAAATTTCTAGTCTAAGTCTGAAATGTACATTTATGGTATTCATCAATTCTGTAAAATGCTTTATGTTTTAGCCGGTTTGAAATAGTTTCTTTGAATTTTACAAAAGGTATATTTAGGAATTGCTGGTAACTGTGACTTCTAAATGATTTGTGTAGGCGTATGTAAGGTGTTACAAGATTATGTTTGTTTCTTGTGCTGTGTTCATGTTGATTACATTGTTCATTAAAATTTACAACATTTTCACAGTTTTCATTTCAACTTTTTTAAATGAGAATTTATCTGAGTTGGTGCAAGACCCCCTGCAAACTTGAAATTACTAAGTAGTTTATTAGTATGGCAAATTAGAGTTCTGATAGTGAGTCAAACTTGTTCATACATTGACAAAAAAATCATTAAAGGTGTCAGGTGAAAGAAAAATTCCAGTTGGTACTTTGCATTTGTTTGTTGATTTAATAATTCATTTGTTATTTGCAGAAATTCTTGCTTCATTCATATCTTTTGTGTAAACTTTCTTGGCATTTTCAAAGTTCATTTTATCGTTAACAGTTTTATCATTAGACAGTCCAAGCACTAAGACATTAGAGCATTTGGTTCTTTGGTATTGTGGTCTGACTTTGATGGCCTAAGGTGTTTTGTAAGGAAGGAGACACCAGAGGCAGCTAAGGATGGAATGAGTTTGGCTGGACTGAAAATATCAGGCTGGCACACCTCTATAGTACCTTAAATATGATGGTTATTTGATGTGATAAGAAGGGTTCAAACTTAGAATTTGGCTAGTTAGAATCTTTTATTGCTGCATACATGTTTTTACTTGAAAAACCCCCTATTAGCCTACCTTAAAAATACTTTATAGAAAGACATAAAGACAGGGGTTGTTGTAGTATAACCAATCCATTCAGAAAACTTGGTAAAACTATTTAAAAAATGGTACAATATTGGTATTGAGAATTGTTTTGTTAGGTATTGGTATCGAGAATCAATAAATGTTGGTATCGACACATCAATAATTTATAATTTCATCAAATATTTTTAACACTTCTGCTACATTACATATTATTTTGATTTGAATGTGTTTGGTTATTTGAGTATGTTTCTTTTGTACAATTAAGTTTTATTTTCTTAACCTTCAAGTTTTGTATGAGCAACCTATACTAATGCAAAATACTGTAAAATTTAAATAACTTATGGATATTTTGAGTTTTAAAAATAAAAAATTAAGTAGCTATCCTAACTATCCTAAAAATTTAAAATAAGGTACCCATGGTACCGGAACCGAGAACCGATAATTGATTTTGGCTAGGAACTGGTACTGGTACCAGCTTTGAAAAAGTGGTACCGACCCATCACTAATTTGTACATATTGACATCACTTTGTAAACTCAACTCCCTAACAATTACCAGAAGATAAGCTTCCAGTTGCAATCCTTTGAAATACAACAAAGAACTAAAATGGTACAAAAAGGACAAATTAAACGGTGAAAACTTAACAATTTTTAATAAATTGCAACTGTATATTGTACACATATATTACGTAGGATAAGTTTAATAATGAAACTAAATAAATTGGAATTCAACAATAATCAATGACAGGTATTTATAATTTATCATCTATGTGTCCGCACTATAAACAGGACTGGAATATAAAATATAAGATTCATACCTGAAGGAAGATGCCGAAATAGGTTAAGCAGCCTGCTGCTAAAGGGATGCCAACAATGTTGTACATGCTAGCAAATACGAAGTTGAGACGAATCCTCTGCACAGTCTTCTTTGAGAGGTCGAAGCATCCGATCACATCTAATAGGTCATTCTGAAACATTATGTTAATTCTTAAGCTATGATTAATTTTTTCTCAACCTTCAAAAGGATTATCAAATAGACATTTCAACATAACACTGTTTCACTGTTTCCAATACATGGGTTGCAGGGTTAAAGCAGTTATTTTTATCCCTAGGTCCAAAATAAAAAGAATAAGTTAGATTTTAGGACATCATCAAAAGGACAGTTAGAAAATAGTCAATCCGTGATGTAGTATACAACATTCGAGTCTAGTTTATTTTTTTATTTATTTAACGTCCCACATTACATCAATTCTCTTGACAGGTGGTTTGTCATACAAGTATAATACTAAATAGATAAATCTACATAATAAAATAGAAAAGAAATATAGCAATCAATACAAACTTATGGCAGAAGTAATATCTTTCAAATACACACATCTTCCAGACATTCTTCTAGTGAGTAAAATGTACTCTCATAAAGAAAATTTTGTAAAGATAATTTGAGTTTAGAGAATGAGGCAATGTTTTTAATCTCAGCGGGTAATTTGTTGTACATTTTTGGCCCCATATACTGAGGAGATAAATGGAAGATGTTAAGCCTTTTTTGAGCTGGTTGTATATAATATTTTTGAATCTTGTGTTATGTGGATGAGATTTTTGACAGTCCATGAATGTGCCAAAATCACTTTTTTTTACCATTAATGCATGTGTTCAATGTGTATTTAGCCTACATCATTGATGATACTTGCCGTTTGCAGTAAGGAATTGCGGCTGCATCTTAAACTTTTTAAGAACCCTAGATAATTTTGGTATTTTAACTGTTATTTGATTTATTTTTTCGGAAAACCTGATCCCGATAACTTGAAATCCTGATAATTTGGATGCGGATAAACTGGAATATATAGTGTTTAAGAAAAAGTAGGTAGTATAATTACAAATAAAAGGTGTAACAGATTTGACAAGGTACATACCCTCATCAAAACAACGTCAGCAGTTTCCATCGCAACATCGGTGCCTGAGGAAATTGCTATACCAACATCTGCTTGTACCAATGCTGGCGAGTCGTTGACCCCATCACCAACCATAGCCACACGGAAGCCTTTCTTCTGCAGACTTTGTATCTTGGCCACCTTGTGAGAAGGCAGTACTTCTGCAAACACCCGGTTTATGCCAACCTGTGCAAAAACATAAGTTTAAACAAGTAATTAAAGATTATTATTTGGATTGGACATTAGTCAACTTCTTTGTAGTCAATAGGAATTGTTGTTGGTCCAATACTAATCGTCCTTTCTTACAATCAACCGTATGTATTTGTATGTAGTGGCCCGGTCAAATAAAATATTTTTTAAACACTATAACAATAAAATACCATAATTAGTACACAAGTTAAATCATTATTTTTAAACAACCAACACCATAATCATGAACCCATATAGAAAAGGCCTCATTCTATTACATACAGGTAAATGTAACATCCGGTTTTCAGGGTTTTTTGATAAAAAAATAAAACTATAACCAAATGCACAGTAACAAGATCCAGGTTTAGTATAAACATAATTATAATTTTAAATCTTTATGAATACAGTACACTCTCGATTATACAAGCCCCGGTTATCCGAGCCTGCGGGATAGTCCAAGGTCTTTTTAGGCATATAAAATGTATATTTTGTATTTCCAGTCGGAAAGCAATAATTATGTTTTTAGGAACGTTTCTGTTGAAAGTAAAATATTAATAGTAATTAGTGATTTCTTAAAATTAATACTTTAAATAGGTAATGATTATAGGGATTGTTTTGACGAGAAATGATCCCCAGTAACCTAGAAAATGAAAATCACACACAGTTCTAGCATTGCACTAGTTTGGCTGCCAACCATTTTTGATTAGCTGCTCGGGCATTGCCACTTTGCCGGCTCGTATCACCTTTTGTCACTGTTTTGTCATTACAATGTTTTGTTTTAATATTGACATTATTGTGTCAAGTATACCTAGCTCAAGTCAAACTACAAAAAAATTATTTTATACTTTAAAAACTGTAGGGGTCCACCTTATTGTGTTACCGTACAGTATTTAATCCTGTAGAGTGTTTGCTTGGCATCATTGTTAATACTCTATTTAAGGTTTTCCAAGACTACTTAAGAAAAGTTAAACATGTTTGAGTCATTGTTTTACTTAATAACACTGCCTTGTTTAAATATATTTTCCATTAAAATAACAATTATTGATGATTTTGTATTCATTTTTAATTGTTATTAAAACATATACTTTACAAATCTTAGACATGGCAGTGGTACCGTAATGTTCGTAACCCCGTAAATTAGGGGCCCTAACCTCAAATCTAAGAGACCTCCGTGTAATCCGAGATTCTGGTTTACCGAGGTAGTCTCGGTCCTAATAACCTCGGTTAATCGGGAGTGTACTGTACTTGAATAGTTTCAATTCAATTTCTCTTTCTTTTGAAGCAATGACACAACTGTATATGAGTATCTGTATCAAGGACCGGTAAAAGATGCTAATTGTATTAAATTTACCAGCATTACGGTATGAGTACATCCACATTGAACTTAACTAATTAGGGTTCCATCAGGTCCAGCTAATATAAAATAATCTTAAAACTCTATGAAGAAAGGCAGAGCTATTACGGGGCTGTTTAGATACCCCTGTGCTTGTGCGTGATAAAACACCTACTATATAAAAAAGGTTGAATAATGAATCCTGAATAAAAAAATAGCCAAAAAGAAGCATTTATTTGCTGAAATATGTTTACAGTAAGTTAACTGCATAGTTTACAGTGGTGTATTCCTAAAGTATCTGTATATTTTAAAAGAAAGTCAAGTGACTGATTTGGATGATTATGGAAAGGGATCGAGTTGAGCTAGCTTAACTGAGAAAATAAGTTTAGGGGCTAATAGATTCCCAATAAAAGGGTTATAAAACATTTTGTCCTGATATGGGCATTTTCAGACAGTAGATTGAAGAATAGGGATGAATCATTGTGGATGTAGATTCTCTCTTCATTTTAGTCTATCAAAAAGTCCTATATTGGGACAAAATATCAGTGTTCTGTTTTGTGGCCTTTTATTGTGTATGTTTTAGCCCCTGGACACTAATGTTCTTAGATAAGCTAGCTGAAATTAAAATGATTTCTTACCTGGCTTTTTGGACAAAACAAGGCCTGGATTGATAAGGATTAGATGTAATATTGCTAACAGAAAAAGACTAAGCTATAAATATTTACCTGTCGTGCAATAGCAACAGCAGTTTTCCGGTTGTCTCCTGTGAGTAGAATCACCTCAAGCCCCCGACTTTTGAGAGTATAGACGGCAAGATGAGCTTCTGGTTTGACAATGTCGGCTACACTCCACATAGACACCAGGATACCTGTCGAACAGGAAAGGTGTAATTTTTGTGGACTTCCTGGAAAGAGGCATTATAATAAAATAAACCCTCAAAGGTATTGCCACACTCTGCAAAACCTCAGAAGATCAATACAAAACAAGCACAGGGGAAAGTTAAGGTCAAAGATCCTACTGATTCACATTAACGCCCGGCCCCACACGGCAAATGTCATTCAAGAAGTTCTTGAATCTTTGAAGTGGGAGTTGTTTCCTCATCCGCTGTACAGCCCGACCTGGCACCGAGCGACATCCACTTAGCCCCAGCAAAGAAGAAGTGGCTGGCTATGCAGTGTTTTGATGACGACGCACAGCTACAAGAAGAGGTAACCAAGTGGTTGAAGGGGCAGGCGGCCGAATTTTATGACAAAAGAATTTCCAAGCTTGTCCATCCTAATCACATGTGTGTTCACATGTGGCGACTAACTGTGGTAAAAAAATCGGGTCTTTATGCTTTGCAACAAATGACCCGTGTCTCAAGCATTGAAACTCTCAAAACTATTTACTTTGCTCTAACAAATCTACATATAGCTTATTAAATAGCTTTATATGGTGGTACCACCAACAAAAATCTAGACAAAATTCTAAGTCAACAGTAAAAAGCTCTTAGAATTATCTTTAGTATAAAAAACAGAGAATCAGTTAGGGGATATTTATTATTCTAAATTGGGTATAATGACCATCTACGATTTATACTTTTTGAAACTACTCTACATGTAAAAAATTCAGATCATCAAACTAACAATTTCCACAATTACAATTTAATGAATTTAATGAGTTTTTATTGGACATAATTACAATCACTTTAAAAAACTACTGAAAAACTATTTTCAATCTAAATCATTACTATTCAATAGAAAAGTTTTGGAGATTAAATAATTAATTATAAATATGTTGTGTTATAGATTATTTTTGTAATCTTTTATTTAGGATACTTATACACCTAATTTATTGTTTCTCTTTTCCTTTCTGTGATGCAATTCATGTATTTCCTGTAAAAATAATTTGATGAATGAAGATGTTTTGTATTTTATTGTATTGTATAATTCGCCGTGACTTGGTTTCCGCTACTATAAGTCGCAGACTCGCAAGCAAAATATAATCTGAGTTCTACCATCGCGAGTTGCAGCGGCTAGTAGCGTTTTGCGAATCGTTTCGTATTAATATTTGTGCTGTGAAAAATAACAATAAAACAATCAGCTGTTAAATTATCAACACAAGTTCCATACGACTGGCGATGGTGACTAGACTGTTCAGACATGGCAATATACGCGCTACCGACTCGCGGCGAATGAATCACGTGACTCTCAACGTTGGCTACTAGCAACTACTCGCCACAAGAGTTGAACGAACATGTACTACTTTCTGCGCAAGTGAATCTTTACTCGCTGGCGAGTGCTAGTCGCCGCTACTTTTTCTTCTGACATAAGGCTGTGTCACACTAGGACACAGTTTTGCGATTAGTAGCTGCTACTCTAGTCGCAGCAAGCAAAATCGCCATGTGTGAACGAGCCTTAAGTTTGGATTTCATCTGTATATTATACTGCAATAACATTTTTTTTCCAAGACTTTTTTTATTCTTAATTCCAAGATATAATCTACTTTCTAGATAGCCTTCGTATTTCCACAGCCAACAAAGATTTTGTAACATTTTGTCAATAATAAGGGTCTGCATTTTCTCAAAATTTTTGCATCGGGTTGAGTCAACAGTTGACCTGAGGGATTGGTTCAGGCAGGAAATAATTTTCAGACCAATCTAAGTTTGGGTCTAGCTAGGGGTGTACAAGCGGCTCTATTATTGAGTCGAGACGAGCTTTCAACTCACAATCGCAGAAAGCCATCGAAAACTGATGATTGAGCCACAATGGCAGTAGACAATGATGATACCTTCGTGACCGTGGAAGAGGTTCAGGATTTCACTATGATTGCAGGATATAATGTAAAATATTGAATGACCTATTAAAAGAAGTCTGTTAAGGCCTGAGATCCGAAGGACTAAATGTTTTATCCAATTTGAAGTAAAAAGATCTGGCTCGACCCTTAGTAATAAGCAATAGTAATAGAATATTTTTTAACACGTTCGCTACTGCAACAGTACGAAATTTTTCATCCTCGTGGACCAGCGACGCACATATGCGTCGGCCGGGTTCCACCCATAGACTGCCGTCGCATATATGCGTCGGCTAGTCACATTAAAATAGACTACCGTCGCATATTTGCGTCGGGGTACTAATGTTATTAAAATGCTTATATCTTTGTAACGGTCTATTTGAAGGCACTGAATTCCCTGCAGTGGTCTACAGAGATGTCTGACGCATAACTGCGTCGCTTGGTCTGTGGATATGATGATTGGTGACGTCATATGATAGTTGGAAAAACAGGTCTTTACTTTTCTGCATCACTGTATGTATGTATGCAGTATGTAGGCTGCATTATCCTATACAGCTTTTATATTTGTTCAGTTATAAACTGTTCTTGATCAATCTGTTTTTTTATTTTACTTACTTTAACCTCAAAACACAAAAAATGAACTGTCGCATATATGCGACGTTTGGTCTATTTCAAGAAAACTATGATAATTTTCACTATTGTCTTCGCTGTAGACCGGGCGTCGCAAATATGCGACATTACTAAAGGTTATTAATAATACAAAAAAACAGGATTACATTAATTACAAACACGATTGTAGCGTATTACAATGTAAATGATCACTGTTTTACAGTTTTTCGCCCGTGGTCTGTGTGTACTGTTATCCAAGTGACAGCCGGTCTGTGTGTAAGATTCAAATGTATACCTCGGTCTGTGGCAATGATCGCGGCGTCGCATATATGCGACGCTCAGTAGCGAACGTGTTAATCATAAAATTAACATAGTAAACGACTAACCTTAGATTATAAAATAGATTGAAAGAAATGTACTAAACCACAATTATTCAGAGTGTCCTGTAAGTAAACAGCCTAACTTGGGAATATGGTTCTACAGGTTAAAATAGAGAGAAAATCAAGAATACAATTTTTTTTCCTAAATCACTTTCTTGACCAGATATCTGCCATTTTGTATTTTATATATTTTATTTCACTTTATTTTAACCCATAGAACCATTTTCCAGACTTTGGTTTACTTATGGGACACCCTGTATATGCAACTGAAGAAGTAGTTTATAATATTTGTGTTAAGTAGGCCTACAAGGAAACTCATGATATGCTGAATAAAGCATATTTTAAGTAAATTAAACCATTACTAATATTTTGGTAAAGACAAAACATCACTATTCGGTTCAGCACCACAATAAAATGTTAGCCCAAATCATAATTAGGAACTCTCTTGTTACTTCAACTGGCATAGGCCTGGTTACAGAGTTTTACTGAGATTTTGGGACTATTCAAAGCACATATGGATTAAAGTTAAAACTTTTAAATGTTTTAATACAAACCATTAATAGCAACCAGAATAGCTGTATGGCCCAGTTCTTCTTCTTCATCCATCTTCATCTCTGAGTCAGAATGCAGTTCAATACCATTCCTGACCATCCACTCTCTATTACCAATGACAACCTGAACATATGTAGTTATTATTACAATTTGAATCTAAAACACCAGAATTTCTTGGCTTAGGTACATGCAACTCAATTTCCCTAATTGTCATTAAAAAATTACTCACCATCATTCCTAGTCTTACTAATACTATTTTAGTTGTATAATAGAAGTCAACCAATATTATGAGGAGCTAACATTTTTAGTTATATTGTTGAAAAAGATGAATTAATGTCAATACTGTGGTATTAGATGTTAGCATTTAAAAATGTAATATAAAACAGAATTTAAATCAGTGTTATAAGAATAAGAATCATTATTACCCTTTAAACAATTTACAGTGCAATAGGGTCGTCATTTGCTACGTAATATTAAAATGTACCGTAGTTAAATATTTCATATGAAATAGTAACAAAGAAAATTTTATCAAATAAATTAAGACAAGCTGGCCTGGTTCTAATCTAAAATCTAGTCAACTAATGGCAGGTACACGGTGATGGTGAAACATAAGGCCACATGTTTCATAACATGTGAAACATAAGCTCCATACATTAAATAAAACATGTATCTACAACTTTTTCACCAGCCTGAAATAATCCAAAAATGCAATTGATTTACAAAATAACACATTCTAAGTGGTAATCACTCTTAAAGGTGGATGTGAAAACTATTAATGTCATAATTTGAATTTGCTTCCGTGAAAACCAGTGTGGAAGAACCCATTGCAGTTACACTCCATAGTAAGTCTGTTACCCTTAAAGTTTGTCTTTATTATCTGCAAACAAGATGTGGTTTGGTTAATTTTACAGTTGGTGTCATTTAAATGAGTGAAAGCATTTAACTATTCAATTAATCATCGTACGCAGATAAATACTTGGAATAAAAATTTAAATGTGTGTCTGTGAATAAAAATGACTTGTGAAAAGCCCAAACCTCGTAAGTTGTATTGTTTGGGTCTGTTTCCTCTGGGGAGCCGATGTTTAGAAGCCGTTCTAGTTGCAGAGATTTGGAAGCAGCTGAAGGAACTAGTGGAAGTAGATCAACTAGCACTCCATTCAATAGCACTTGACTCTTGGAAGATCTGTAATTATTGACAATCTTCTCATATACAATAAATAAACTGGTAAGAATATTTACTTAGATACTTAACTCTACTGGCCAAGAATTAACTTTGCTAGAGTTTTAAAAATACTTGGTTTTAAAAATGAGTTTAAACTGTTTCAAAAAGATGTCCACGACCTTTAAAAAGGCATATTAAAAAAGATACATACAGCCTTTAAAATAAATTTGCTATGATTCTTTGATTTTGCAAACAAAATGTATGTGGATTATTTACCTTCGACAGATAATACAGTATTTCTTTGTTGATTCATCATTAGATTATTTTAAATGTCAGTATTAGCTAAGAAACGATTTCTATTATCTCAGAAATTCTCTGTAACATTCTAAACGCTTAGCGATAACACTTTGTTGGTTGCCATACTAGATTCACTTCCGGACCAATGAACTAGTAGTAATGAATTGTCTGACTAATAAATGAATGTCATAACCAAATTCAACTCATCCCAGATCTAGCCTACCCTAACCGGTGATCAATTGACAGAATTCATCTGAGAATACTATTATTTTCTTAGATTAAAAGGTAGTTAAAATTAGTTGGTGGTAAACTACCTGGCTTGGTTGCTGAAGTTGGCAGTTTTTTCAGAGGTGGTAGCAGCTTGCAGCATAGAAGCAATATGAGACACAGAACATTTCAGACCACACCCTGGTACTGACTGGAAGTTGGAACATCTCCCTGACATTTCAGAATTGATTGTCTCCTTGATGAAAGTCACAATTGCTATAAAACAAGATTTATAATAAACATTTTATGGTAGGATAAATAATGGTTAAAGAATACACTTTAAATATATCATGTATAATATGAATATGTGATTTTAAAAAAAATATTTCATTCTTTGAGAAAGATGACTTAAGGCCAGGATTTTAAAGGATTTCGTGGTGGATAGCTTTAACACCACGCTTACTTACTTTACTTTAGCGTGCTTACTTTACTGATGAAAATATATGAAAATGCTCAAATAAACATATAAACACAAGGTTTTAGCTCATTCTTCTGTAGTAGAGTCTTTGTTGTTTCAGGGTAAGCTAATAGTAGGGTAAGCCTGCTGTTAAAACCTATCCACTACCAAACCATGAAATTAAAAAAATATAGAGTACATAAAGAACAATTACGAATTAAGTAGACTATTGAAAATCTTAACTAAAATGGTGGATGGCCGATTGCAATTGTACTACCTCACACATAAGCTATGTTCCATTAAACAGAGTAGTATCTATGGCTAAGAAATATTACTATAGTATTGTATCTGTAATCAATACTATCTGCATTTTATCCTAGCAATGCTCTTTATGTCAAATACCTGATGCAATTGGGTGTTCACTGTTGATTTCTGCAGTGCCCACAATGCACAGTAGTTGCGCGATGTTAAATACTGTGTCATCAACAAACAAACAGAGTCGGGAAACCATTGGAGTTCCATAAGTCACAGTGCCTGTCTTATCCAGCAATATCTTTTTAACCTACAAGAAATAATACACTTAGTCATTAGGAAAACAATTTAATGTATAAATACTTGACAATTTATATAAGATTGATGAAGTATTTTATAATACGAGGTGAGGCTGTAAAATAACGAGACTGTACTTTGGTTCAGAAATGAGAATTTTGAGCAACACTTTTTAGTACACAGTATTCTCATGTTGAAATGTTCGTGTAATAGTGGTCAGCTGATTCTTTGTCAATTCTAACAGTCCAAGTAACTTTACGGATACTCAAGACAAATATGACGTATGAGATTGCCTACTTTCCAATGTTTTAATCAGTTTTTGAAGTTGAAGGACGTCCTTGAGGCGAAGCATCTATCTTCTCTGCCTTCTTTGAGTCGTTTATATCACTTATAAACCCGAGTCCATGACACATATTTATCCCCATACACTTGTTGTAGAAGAGAACTTATCGAGCTTCACAAAAAATATTCCCTTGATACGTTGTTCAGTAGTTTTCTAACAAACTGCAAATAGACTAACTGATTTTCAAAGAGTTGTTTAGCTTCCAGATTACTGTACTTAAAATTATTTACGATACGTGCATATAATAATCCTTTGTCGCTGTTTTGGCAACTAGATTTGGTTATTTTGAACCATCATCAGACTTCAAGGTGTTAGGTAATCACTTCATTTGGAGGTCGTTAACAGAGGCCAATAAATAAAACATATATGAGATGCAGAAACATAGAACGGACACACGTTTACAAAATAACACAAAACACTCGAAAGAACATTGACAAAATATAACTTGACCGAGCTGAAGTAAATTCTAGACTAAAATCTTAGTCTAGACTTTACTTCAGCTTGGTCACGTTCGATTTTGTCAATATCCCTTCGTGTGTTAATGTGATTACCTGACACCTCAAGGCCCTAGACAGAACTGAAGATGTTTCTGAATATTGCAAATGAAAATATGTTATTTTTAGTTTTCTTTTAAGAACAGTTCCAATAAATTGCTTGTTGTTATATTGAACAAACCTGATAAAACTTGTTGGGGTAAAGGTAAATATTTACCCCACGCGATATATTATAGCGATAGGTGTGGGCACTCGTAAAAGGTAAATTCGTTCTCTGTACATACATGTTTTTTATCTTCGTACAGTAACACGTAAGGCTTCAACAATGGATTCAGTTATAAAGTACAACCTTGACCATAAAATAGTTAATTTAGATGTTTCGGTGGAGAGAGATATTCAAAGAGCGATGAATCTGTTTGACTAAGGGACTTGTCTGCTATTCTATAGTTCTTGATAGATTGATGTAGTAGAAGCGTTAAAACATGGTAAAAATCAAATAAATAGTAGTTCACTGAATTTGAGCTACGACCTCCAAGATCAATAACTAAGTTGTTGGTACAGTAAACACTTGCTAGTCCAGCTTGTCTTGGATTTAGGTAGGGCCGTTTGAGAATACCGTCTCAAAATGGCTGTTAATGCAAAGGTAGTAAGAATACTGCTATAATTATGAAAAATAGCATTTAACAGGTGCCAGGCCAATTTACAGACCTCAGTCAATCGTCCGTCAAATCTGTTGAATACATCCAATCTCATCAAAACGCGTCTAACTTCTAATGATCGTTTCCAGAAGGCTTATTCAGTCTTTAGAAAAAATTTAAACTAGGCAGAATTATTAAATGTGCCTTACTATCGGATACTGGATTAGTGAGGTTTTACTGTGTTCCAGATCTCATTTGGATGGTTTCACAGGCAAGTTTAACTTAAAGAAGATTTTATTATAACAACTGATTATGTTACCTTGTGAGAGTTCTCTAGAGGTTCGGCCCCTTTGATCAGAATTCCGTTGGTAGCACCAACTCCAGTTCCCACCATGATGGCTGTGGGTGTAGCCAATCCTAGGGCACAGGGACAGGCTATAGCCAGAACACTGATTCCACAACGGAATGCATACTGATAGATGATCTCTTCTGTGTTCAATCCCTCAGTATCCATTGGCTAAAACAATGCAATATGAATGTTGTTTTGCAAAGATTTTTATAGGGTAGGATTACTGTTAATTGACAGTCTTAACCCTTCCCACGCGGAATATCATTTACCTCACCTAAACCCCAACAGCGGAATTTATTTTATTTTATTTTTTTTTTTTTTTTACTGGCGAATTTTACTTCTACATTTGGACATATCCAAGGATAAAAAAAATACTAAGCATAAAGAAAAAAAATCAATATAATATATTTTACACGAATTTTAAAGTTTTACATACAAAATGAGAAATTATTTTATTTTTCTATTTTGTTTACTTGTAATTGTTTAGAGAAAAATTAAAAATGCAGTATTGTTGTAAAATTGATACAAAAGACAATATTAGCATACAAAAACGATAAAAAAATAAAAAAAAAAATAAAAAAAAAAAAAATAAACGTACAAAAATTGAAAATTGAAAAAAAGTATTTCTAAACAGTTTTGAAACAGAATATTATAAAAAGGAATACAATGCCAAGTTCATAAAAAATCACTAAAAACAATGTTAGGGTCCAACAAAAACATTATAAAGTTCTAGTACTCAGCCATCGTGTGGAACTGCTCGAAACAGGTGTCTGGGTGAAGCGCCGGACGGGAGTCGCAAGTCTTGCAGAAGTAGATTGTCTCGCGGCGGCGTCCATTTTTGAAACACACCACACACCGATTAGCTCCCTTTTCTTTTCTGTCCATAAAATGTGGGTTTCCATCTAACCGTTGATTCGGTGGCCCGTAGACTGGACGGCCTCTTTTACGTGCTATTGGACGATTAGCGAGTTTTTCCTCTACCAAGGACTTCACCAAGCATGTGCGGAACTGCCTATGTGACATGGGATTTTTGTTGTGCTTTTGTTGTATGTCTTTGTACATAATGTACGAGTTCACAATAGCCACCTCAAAAAGCCAGAAAAACATTTTTCTATACCATTTTCTAGTTCGGCGCATAAACTGGTAAGATGAAATAAAGTGATCGGTGTGATCAACGCCTCCCATATGTTTTATGTAATCAAGGATAACATGCGGTTTTGCTGTTGGTGGCTTGTTCGGCCACTTGCTTGGGACATCCGTCGTATTATGTTTGCTACCCTTGGAAAAAGTGCTTAGCATGTGTACAGTGCGCTTATCTTTCCAAGAAAGTACCAGTGTATTTTCCTTTCGCTTGGAAACAATTTCCCCCTTTTTTAGGCCTTTACCAATAGCTTTCAATCTTGGTGGTAAACCAACTCTGTTTGGCATTACAGTGCCTGTAAGGAAACATCCCATACCTAATAGCTCTTCTGCTATTTCAGGACTCGTGTAATATCTGTCTGTGTAAACGTGGAGACCAGTAGCAGGTGAAACAGGGTCTTTCATAGCAACAGACTGGGCTAATACTTTTACAATCTGTGTTGTTTTTAGCAATGTTGTGTCTGGTATTAGTGTCTCCTTTCCGTAATATGGGATAAAATCATATAGATAGCCACTCTTGCTATCGGACACAACAAAGATCTTCAAACCGAATTTGGTTGGTTTGTTTGGGTTATAGATCCTAAAACTAACTTTTCCTTTGAAGGAAATGGTGCTCTCGTCGACTGAAATGTGTTCTGAGGGGTTATAAAAAAGCCTACACATTTCTTTCATATGGTCGACTATGGGTGAAACAAGAAATCCCCTGGGCACTGCATTGTTGGTATCCTTGTGATTGAAGTGGAGATTCCAGAAAATATTCAAGAACTCATCTCTATTGAACACGTCTCTGAAAAAAGGTATTCGCCCTATCCAGGTAGTCGAGTAGTAGGATTCAATAGACGGTAGTGGAATCAACCCCATATTTATTATAGTTGCAAAAAAGGCTTTCAGTTCAACAGGGGTGATGTCCTTCCACGTGTTTATTCTACCACGGGGTGAATTACACTGAGCTTTCCGCTTGTTAGCATATAAGTTTGTTTCAGTACAAATAAGATCAAATATGTTATCGTTGAAAAACAATTTGAAATAATCAATGGGCTCTGACTCGCTATCGAACGCGGCAGGAAGTACAGGTCCAGCACTTACCGAATATATCGGGATGGTATGCGAAGGGCCAGGGTCGTTATCAGTGACGTCAACCCAGTCGCTGAGTTGTGCGGTAGGCAGGTCGGCAGAGTCGGGTGGAGGCTGGGCCTGTGGAGCCGGTGGCGGTGTAACAGGTGTTCGTGTGACACGACGAGACCGCTTGGCCGGAGCTGGAGGTTGAGGGGTTGTGACAGGTGTCGGTTGTGGAGCCGGTGGTGTCACAGGTGCTCGTTTGACACCACGAGACCGCTTGGCCCTAGCTGGAGGTTGAGGGTCTGTGATAGGTGTTGGTAGTGGAGCCGGCAGCGGTGTCACGGATGTTGGTAGTGGAGCCGGCAGCGGTGTCACAGGTGTTGGTAGTGGAGTCGGCAGCGGTGTCACGGATGTTGGTAGTGGAGCCGGCAGCGGTGTCACAGGTGTTGGTAGTGGAGTCGGCAGCGGTGTCACAGGTGTCGGTAGTGAAACCGGCGGTGATGTGACAGAAATGTCCTTACGGTCACTATCTATCTCCATAACATCAATTATAGACGAGAAGGAAGTATTTGTTAGGCCTATATCATTTATAAGGTCATCATAGGTGGTGTGACTGGTATCAGTTGTGGAGCCGGGCAATGCTGGAGGTTGAAGGGGTGTGACAGGTGGTTGTGAATCCAGCGGCAGTGCTAGAGGTTGAGGGGGTTGACTGACTTCTCCGTCACTTTCACTTTCACCAGGATTGTTATATATTAGCGCGTCCTCACGGTCACTGTCATCTATATCCATATCAACATATGCGGACGAAAAAGAAGCATTCATTAGATCATTTACAAAGACGTTGAAGTCCGGGTCATCAGGGTTCGCCATTTTCAATTATAAGAAAAAATTATTGGCTAGAAACCCCAGAAAAACATAACTGTACAAATAAAGAAAATAACACACAGCACACGGAACACAACACAAGCAATAAAACTCACTAAATATCCGCCGTACGGACTCAACGCAAACAAAGAAACTCGCTAAATAGCAGCAGTACGTGGCGTGCGTATATATGCGGACTTAGCGCGGGACTACCGCACAGACACGGAAAATTCCATGCGGCGACAAACAAAACCCCCTCCCTCCCCACCACTAGTGAGCCAGCGACCTTGACAGTGATTCGGGTGCACTCGGCAATATCAGCGGAACACAAACCAATACAACCCTGAACTCTAGCGGACGTTACACCAACTACAGACTATAAATAAAGAAGATACGCATATATACGGATTACGCGTTTCGGCAAAATTTGAGGCCTGCGTATATATGCGTTTGCCGCGTGGGAAGGGTTAACCCTCCAACTGGCAATGGGCGAACTCTGTAGTGGCAAGGCATTTTTAGGCGATTCTGCAGTAATATTTTTGAGAATTCATATAAACTAAATCAATAGAGCAAACCTATTGAAACACATACTTGAATTGTTCGTAATGAAATAAAGAATTTGAAAATGGAAACAGAATAAATACTTAGAACAGTATGTGGACATTAAGTAGAAAAAATATAAAAAATTGTTTTTAGAATTTTGAAATTGGGAAAGTAAAACTTTGCTGCATGAACCACAAATTGTTATGTAAAATTCAATATATGTATACAAAATGTTTGGAATTTATTTTCTCTATATGGAAATGTAAAAATATTTCAAATAACATTTTTACAGATCGCTATGACCCAAAAACAAGAAACTGGCAAATTTCACGATTTTGTGCTACTAGTTTCAAACAAATTCCAAATAAATGTGTTCTCAAAAAATGTAAATAAAGTACACATTTTTGTAAAGGAATATAGCATTGGAAATCAAATTAAGTAAGAGTTGTTCATAGAAAATTTTTATATCTATAAATCTTTACAACGTTTATAAATCTTAATATTTTTTTATAAAAAATAAATATGTACATTATTTTTCAAACACATAAAACCCAAATGCCTACTATATAAAATGAAAGAAAATTTATTCCCCTACATAAATATATATAGTTAAAAAGGCAAATATAAATAAATAAATATTTTATAGTGTTTTATATGAAATGCTGCTGCACCTTTTTCATGTGGCGATTGTTTGTTCAATGAGATGTTTCAAGATGGGCAACTGACTTTGCTCTAAATTTTTGTTCACTTTAGTGCTTAATTACAGTGACATCTATGTGAGACAAAGTTCATCTATGTCACAAAATGCAAGCTTAGAATCTTATCTAAAATCTTATCTAATATCTTATCTACAATGTAGCCAAAATTAGGATGTAGTAATTTTTTAAAAAAACCAATCACAATATTGTATTGTTTAAAGATGGGATAAATGACTATTCATTGACTATGACTACTCATTGATTATTCATTATCTTTTAAATGGTATAAAAACTATTCCATTTTACAATCGTTTTTAACCATTTATTTAGTTAAGAGTTAACGAAAACCTTACAAAACGCGACTATCATAGTCGCTGCCACAACAGAAACCCCCTACCACGCCAGTTGGAGGGTTTAAGCAAGCATTTTCTCCTGGTCAGTTTACATTGGTTTGGGGGTTCAACTACTGTCAAGCTCACCTGTAGGCTACTATGGTTCTCCTAAAACAACCCAGGATAGTAACACGTCTTCATGCAAGTGGATGGTTCAATTAATTGAACTTGAAGTTAGAAGATGGTTTAGCTTTTCGTTATAGCTATATTAGCTTAGTTATATTTTTAAATATTAAAATATCCAAACTTTAAATAGCTTTGCATACCAAAAAAGTATAGTTATTTTATTTACTCATCAAACTTAATTGAATTTTGTAAAATAAGCTATGTTTATTGATTTACTTGTTACATGTCTCAAATTGAAATTACTTTTGTATGAGTAGATTTGTTCCTAATCCCGCCTTTTTCTTAGAATGTTAAAGCTATTAGCTCAACGATTCACTTACTTTGTGTCTCTAATGACATTTGTATCAGTATGTTCCTAATTATTAACCTTGCCTCTATCAAAAATGACGAGCTATTATCTCTCTCCCAGTCACAAAAATAATAAATAAGTTTATTAGTATATCAGTACACAAAAAAATAATCTCATTAAACAAAAGATAGTATAAAAAGAACCCTTACCGTAAGGGGTAGCCAATTGAACCTATAGTGACCAATAATAGCCCAAACAATAACAGTTAGAGCTGATAAGGAAATGACAGTTGGCACAAAATATCCAGCGATTTTGTCAGCTATCTTTTGTATAGGAGCTTTGGATGTCTGAGCTTCTTCCACTAGTTTTACTATCTGTGCAAGAGTCATGGATTCTCCTGTGTGAGTGGTGATCATCAGGAGTAGGCCATTCTGGTTGATGGATCCACCAATCACAGCACTCCCTGGAAACACAAACACAGGCTTACGAATACATTGAGGAACAAGTAAGAGAAATGGACACAACTAACCTACCTTAAAAAAAGAGTTCCAGGCAGTTGGTAGCACACAAAAGTTCACATAACAATTAGTTAGATATTTCCTCTCTCCAAGAGGACTTCTTCAGGAGAATGTAGTGGGAAAATACTTACTACTTCCTTCTGAAAATTCCTCCTTGTATAGGCAAAATAATATGTATTAATATTTTGTGTGAATAATTTGTGTGCTCTCAACCGCATGAAATTCTTTTCTTGGGTAAGTTACTTGTTTCATCACTCCATTCCTTCCCCCTTGCCTCTTAATGTGAGTAATAAATGATTATTGAGTGATTAATACGTAATAAATTACAGTTCTGTCCTAAAATGAGGTACATTTAGAATCAAAATACTGTAGCTAAACTGAAGCTGACGTTCAAAATTTTGTTTTAGTATGATAATGCCAGACCCCACACAGCAAATTTCACACTAGATCTCCTACATTAATTCAAATGTTAGATTTACCCTTAACCACCCAACAGTCCAGACCTTGCTCTAAGTGATGTTAATTTATTTGAATAATTGGTTATCATCACAGCACATTGATGAAGGGCTCCAATAGCATGTCAACGGGTGGCTGAGCTCGCACGCAGCAGATTTTACGACAAAAAAATAAATTTAAAAAGAGAAAGAATTTTAAGAAATGATAAATACTTTTCACTGCTATAACAAGTGCCTTGATTTGTTTGGTGAGTATGTAATGTAGCATTTTAGTCAGTCTATGTATATAATGTTTATTTTTACAAACTTTTTGTTTTATTACAAACAATCTTTACTTTCTGAATAGCCCTCACACTTAGATACATTATATATTCAAATTGTTTGGAAAAATGTATTCACATTCATTTATTTACATTTACAACATAGCAAACACCATACAATTTTAAGAGTAACTTAAAACCTGAAAACCATACCTCTTTTCTTGACAACAGGCATGGATTCTCCTGTAATAAGGGACTCATCACATGTTGAATTTCCGAAGATAACTTTACCATCAACAGGAACTTTTGCACCTGGTACTACCTATGATATAAAATAGACATAAATGTTACTAAACAGTAATAAGCAGCACTTACTTTACAGTAACCAAGGTACAATTCCATAACGATGTTCTTGAAGTAACATAATCACTGATTGAACAACTCAAGTCTCTTAAACAATATATAGCGTATATAGTTTTGAAACTAACCTGCATTTAAGGTAACATTTATTTTATTTACATTTAAGTTATAGTAGTATATACACAAGACTAGCCTTGTGAGGCCTTTGTTGCATAAAAAAATATAATATGAACTTTCAAAACTTTCTGAAGCTGTTTTATAAATTGAGTTGCTGGAGCATAGCTGGTCATGGGTTTAAAGTGTAGGATTTTTTTTATGGGGGTACTGGTTTAAATCTTATTAATAAACAATAACAAAAATAAACATGAGAAAGGCCAAAATATTTCATACAAAATTTCCAAGCAGTTGTACTACGATAAAAAATTCATAAATTTTGTTTTGATTGTCAAGAGCTAAAATTAGTATACTTTCCAGCTTTCTTTAGTGAAGCATTATTTTTCTCTAAACAATTAAAGTTAAAAAAAACATACTAAAGCTGTATTTTTATGTTTAAGTTATACACTTATATAGAGTGCATTAGCATTCTGAGCAATAAACAAACTAGGAATAAAATACAACAATTTGCTGAACTAGTAAAATATAAAAATATAGGGCTGGGTTTTGAAACAGGTAGGTAAGAAAAATTATTCATTCCAACCTAAAGATGAGTCTTTGATTTTGACTAGTAAATTTGGAAAATGTTACCAATTAGATTGTTTGGTCAACAAATTACTCAGGAGTGATTTTTTGTATTAAAACTGTTACTGTTGGATGGTTAAGAGATTATATATTTGTAATTTTACTTCATCAAATAATATATGCCTTTTTCTAAACTAAGCAAATAATATTAATAAAGACAATAGACGTTTTACCTTAAGTATGTCTCCTCGCTGAACCATTTCAACAGCAATAATCTTCTCTGATAAAATGTTAAAGTCTTCTCCCACAGTAACAAGGACTGCATCAGTTGCTTTTAGTGACAACAGCTTTGACAGGGCTTCCGAAGTCTTCCCCTAGATTGATAAAATATTATTACACATTTTACCATAACTATCACTACTATATTGTGGATATTTGTATTTAAATATTATATTTTTAATCATTTTAAAATATGATTACTGTGTCCCTGCTTGTTCATAGAGAATAACCCCTTTTAACCACCGTTAACACCGTTCAAATCAAAACCATCATACAAAATTTGGATCGATTACAAAATCAGTTGACAGCAGGAATTTTCTGCCAAAAATTGTTGCACAAGTTGCTGGTTTGGCTTGGCCAATGGAATGTAATGGAGCAGAAGACAAAATGGATCGCATACCGTGATATGATATAGATAAAGTTCAGAAAACGTCTTTCAATTATTTTAAGAAATAGTTTTTGCGAAAACAAGTTTTTAATTGATGACTGCAACAAAATAACACAAATAACTACTGTTGTAGATCACTTTGGATAGACATAGCCTTTAAATTCCTACCTTTGACTAACCAAAAAAATGCATTACCCAAATGTCTTTGTCCCCTTTATTTCTTCTTGTTTGATTTTTCTTTCAGTAAAATCTTTATCTTTGGCTGTCCAAGCTCTGTGTTGTCCGACCGCCTCTACATGAATTGAGTACAATGAAGTTCCGTGCTATTTCCATGAGATATGACTATAGTGTACACTATAGCGTATAAATAGAGACAACAATTATGCTGCTCTTGCATGTACTCGAAAAGTCGAAAGATATGTCTCAGGCTTAAGGCACATACACTTTACTATGCTTTCAGATTGTCTAGACCCCTGAGTTTAGGAAAAATTCAAGGAAATTGAAAAAAAAATAGAAATTACACTAGCCTAAACGTTTTAATGAGAGATAAAAGTACGAAGAAAATATAAAAAAATTTGAACAGCTAATAGTGAGACATAGTATTTATCTTCCAGTTAAAATGTATTTTGTTGTTTTACAGAAGGAAAGCACAGCTGTTGCCAGCATTACTGCATTTCGTTGAAGCCCAATGCAAATAAATCTTGGTATTTATTATTTTATTTAAACAAAATCTTTTTTACTTGAAGTCTCTAAAAATAAAAACAACAAACTGTTAAGTGGTTGTCAAGAGATAATAGATAAAACAGCAGCCAGCTATTAACAGTGTAGATTAACATGGATAAGATAAGCAAATTGACTGCTGTGGGCGACTCTAAAAGGACCATTAGACCTGGCTTACACTGGAAAGTGTGTGTAAAAGGTTGAGTAATTAATTATGGATAAGTGTAAACAGCCTTCTATATGAGTATTCTACGTCCTCAAAGCAATATTTTTACATTGTAAACTGTTGGAAAATTTTAAATTTTAGTTTGTTTGAAAATAGGTTTCACTTTTGATTCAGATTTCAAACAACATTACCATTTTGTTTCGTCCTGCAATTCATTAAAAAACTTTAAAATTAAACTTTATTTTACTTATGCTTCATTAATAAATCTGTATTCTTGTTGAGTTGACCTTCTTTCAACCTCATTGTAGCATACACAACATAGGAGTTGGAACTAAAAATTAAGATTTGCTCGGTTTGCATCAATGTTACTTATTAGTTACAACCAATTGTAAAAATTTAATAGTTTCAAAAAAATCACAAATGCATTGTATTGGGGGGGGGGGTTAAAACTTGAGAATTCCAGGTGAAATACTTTGATAGTTTGATGTTTTTATTTTAAGGTGTGGTAACTGGTAACACTACAGGGTCAATCCATTTCAAGTGGTCCAGAGGTGGTTGCTTCAAGATTTTTAATTTTTTTCATATTTTTATCCTTGAAAGTATATATTATTAGAAGTACAAAAATACAATTATTTTATTTTTATTTTATTTTTCTACTGTATGGCGGCCATTTTTTTGTTACTTGAACGGCCGTTTTCAGCGATTTCAGAGCTCTACGTAAAATTGAATATCTCTGGTTCTACTAATCCTAGAACATTAAAATAAAAACCAATCTCTTCAGAAAGATCTGAACTTTCATATGGTAATATATTGATGCACTTAAAACTAAATATATAGGTCTAATTACCTGTTTAAAGTTTAACGCAACGATGTTACGAATACTGATTTTAAAAAATTTATTTTTACATAAAGGCAATTGACTATGTGTTTGTTATTTTTTTATCTGATAGTTATAGGTGTGTACTCCAAATTCTCAAAGTTTCAAGTTGTGGACTTGCATAGGGTTTTAAATAAAAATTGTCAAAATCTTAAAATTTTCAAAATTTCAAAAGTTTGATGCTTAATATCTTTGTTGGGCATGAAAATAAAAATTTCAAATTTGGCTCAGATATAGTACTAAGTAAGAGTATTATGCTGTAATAATTTTATTTTGTGGACTCAACTGGTTTCAAAGTTATGAAACATTGAAAAGTACTAAATAAGCGTTAAAGCCGTAATAGCGTAGGAAGCATAATGTTATATTATAACTCACTATCAATGTATTTTTTAACAATGTTATATTTTAATCATATATTTTAAGCATTTTGATGTTTTAAAACACTCTTTGTTGTCTGCCACAGGTACAAATCTGTGAGAGGATTGTGTTCAGGGAATTGGTGACGTCCTTTGAGTCGAAATTGAAGTTCTAATTTAATATTTTTGCTACTTCTTTGCTGTCTACATAAAAGTATTGAATACCTTCAAGGGTTTGCCTTAACAAAAGTTAAACATATTCTTAGCATTCAAAATTTGGTTGCATATGGTACATTTTGGACTCTACTAGTGACATCGCTCTTTGTAGTGCCTCCTACACCATCGGAAAATATTGACTCCACTTTAAATGTATAGAAATGGATTTTATATTAATATTGTTTTGGTTTTCAATTCTGTGTTTTATTTTCAATCCTTTTTGTTTATGTTCATAAATCTAAATTTGAATTAATAATACATGTTATCTTTTACATGTCTTATACATGTCTGACATGTTATCTTATGGGACGTCTGGCACTAAACAACCCTACTTACGACGTTGCAAACTCTACGCGGCCTGGAGTTAAAGGTGGCTGTGGCTATACAGTATCATAAAATGATTTCTTACAGAAATATTCAGTCACAGGTACTACAATACCAGCTGCGAGGCATTTTTTGCTACTGCGCAAGGAAAAAATTCCTGCAATGGTGTAGGAGGCACTACCAAGAGCAAAGTCACTAATAGAGTCTACAATGTACCATAGACAGCCAAATTTTGAATGATAAGGATATGTTTAACTTTTGTTAAAACAAACCCTTAAAGGTATTCAATACTTTTATGTAGACATCAAAGAATTAGCAAAAAAATTAAATTTGAACTTCAATTTCGACTCAAAGGACGTCTACCAATTTCCTGAACACAATCCTCTAACAGATTTGTACCTGTGGCAGACTACAAAGAGTGTTTTAAAACATCAAAATTCTTAAAATATATGATTAAAATATAACATTGTTAAAAAATACATTCATAATGAGTTATAATATAACATTATGCTTCCTACGCTATTACGGCTATAACGCTTATTTAGTACTTTTCAATGTTTCATAACTTTGAAACCAGTTGAGTCCACAAAATAAAATTATCACAGCATAATACTCTTACTTAGTGCTATATCTGAGCCAAATTTGAAATTTTTATTTTCATGCCCAACAAAGATATTAAGCATCAAACTTTTGAAATTTTGAAAATTTTAAGATTTTGACAATTTTTATTTAAAACCCTATGCAAGTCCACAACTTGAAACTTTGAGAATTTGGAGTACACACCTATAACTATCAGATAAAAAAATAACAAACACATAGTCAATTGCCTTTATGTAAAAATAAATTGTTTAAAATCAGTATTCGTAACATCGTTGCGTTAAACTTTAAACAGGTAATTAGACCTATATATTTAGTTTTAAGTGCATCAATATATTATCATATTAAAGTTCAGATCTTTCTGAAGAGATTGGTTTTTATTTTAATGTTCTAGGATTAGTAGAACCAGAGATATTTAATTTTACGTAGAGCTCTGAAATCGCTGAAAACGGCCGTTCAAGTAACAAAAAAATGGCCGCCATACAGTAGAAAAATAAAATAAAAATAAAATAATTGTATTTTTGTACTTCTAATAATATATACTTTCAAGGATAAAAATATGAAAAAAATTAAAAATCTTGAAGCAACCAATTAATTTATTTCTGGACCACTTGATATGGATTGACCCTACAGTATTGTTGTACACACTGAATGCTCACAAACTCCTTATGAACTCACAAACACCCTTATATATATTGTGTTCTCATACACAAGTCTGAAAAACTATGCTTGGCTATGGTCTGCGACTGAGTCATTTAATAACTTCAAAGCTTAAAACTGTGATTGAACTGTTTTCTGCCAGTTGATCTGTTTTATTTGACAATATTAATACACTTAAATTTACGTTCAGCCTAGTATTTATCTTAATTTATAATGGTAAAATAACAATTTCTTCTGGGAATTTAAGTAAAGGTGTGGGAATATTTACAAGTTTGAATAGTTTAACAAACATTTTAGCGATAGAGCCCAACTCAATATAAATTAATATGTTTCCAGTTTCAAATAGTTGATAAACTTAAAAATAAACCCCCAATGTCAACAAAAAAATCACATGTATTGTCTTGTTTTATTTCATTCTTGAACCTGCTTTCCCAAAATTTCAATATATGTATTATAATCATTATAAATGTGACTTGAGAATATGATGGTGTAAATTCCAATAAATATTGTACTTCAAATACATTACATGGTTCGGTACACAGTGAATATACGGAGTGATATTTAAATAAAATACAGGCTGGTTAACCTTATTAAAATTCCAAGTCTGTCTTGGGTAACTTTTGGTAGATATACAGGGTGTCCCATAAGTAAGTACAAAGAATTCAGTAATAGGTTTATTGGGTCAAAATAAAAGAAATATCAGGAATAATTTTGTTTTTCAAAAATGCCTCATTAGTGAGATATTCTCAATTTTTTTGTGCTTTAAACTTATTTATTAACAACTATTAAAGACATCTTTGTGAAATTTGGTGGTATACACTTTTATCAAGTCATACTGTATTTACAAAAAAATAATCATTACAAAATATTTGTATTTTCTAAATGGCGGTCATTTTAATATTTATAACTTAAATTACTAAAATTGGCTGATTTATGGAATAATTCTCGGCCTATATAACAACTTTTATTTGGCATTTAAAATTTCCTATCAAATGACACTAAGGTTCAAAATATCAAATAATAAATAGCTGAGAAATCACAATTTTTGGTGCAAAAAGGGGCGAAATCTGACTGCAAGGCCTTTTTTTGCCTGGCCTGTGCAACTAAAAATCGTTATTCCTCAGCTATTTATCATTTGATATTTTTTTAATTGGTGTCATTTGATAAGAAACTTAGGATGCTAAATATAATTGTTCTTAGCATTTTTTCATAAAATCCGGCATTTTTTGGAATTTAAGATTTGACATTTTAAATGGACGCCATTTTGAAACTGAAAAATATTTTATTTTGTAATGATTATTTTTTCATAAATGCATAATTACTTGATAAAAGTGTATACTAAGTTTTATATAGGTATACTAAATAGTTTTTAAGAAATACACTTTTTTAAATGGCGGATATCTTGCTACCAAAGCATTTTTGGAAAAAATTTTATTCTTGATTTTCATTTTATTTTGAGCTGATAAACCGAATGATTTATTCTCTGAACCTGATGTCTGAATTCTTTGTACCTACTTACAGAACACCTTGTATACTTTGTATGATGGAACCTACCTGTTTCCTGACCGGGTCTACCCTGGGACTTGCCAATGGTTCAGGGACCAGACCATTTTTAAGTAGACGAGGGTCAGGAGACATGTTTCATCAAACAGACTATAATAATTATGTAAATATTCGCTCAAGAATATTATGAACCAATATTCAATTAGATTAGATTTGAACCAAAAAATCACTAATTACACACCCCCAATTTTAAACATTATAAAAGTTACCTTAGCTATATGTTCCAGCCAACGACCAAGAGAGATAAACACAAACAGCATAGGAGGAGTGTCAAAGAACGTCTGGGGACTTGTGGACTGTTTTAGAAACATCGCAATGGCAAGGACAGCTACTGAGTAGATATAGGAAATATTGGTAGCCATGGAGATCAGGACGTCCATGTTGGTCGTATGATGGCGTAGAGCTCGATAAGCCTGCACGTGAAATTGGTAACCACCGATGAACTGAAAAAGATAACTTAATGTCAAACCAGCTACAGAGGATAAGTAATTTATTTTGCATGTAACATTTGTCATTAAAAAGGGTTGGAATGTGGCTTTATAGTTGGTGCCATGATTAATACAAAGCTCCTCATGTCTTAACATAAGATAATAGCCAGACATTCAATTATTTTTTTCCACAGTGCTTGCTTAGCAATCTGGTTTGAGCTCTAGAATACCTATTAGCCTTTTGATGTTTTTAAACTGGACCCAAGAGTCCTTGATCATTGGACTTTTAATAAATGGTCACATATGTAAAAACACAAATATTGCTAACAGCATAAAAAAAAACTAGGGGTACAGCTGGCTTATGGTTAGGGAATGGAACTCCAGTTTTGAAGGTCCATGTTCCCTTTTGCTAAATGATAACCGAGTAGTACAGGGAGGGACCATCTTAAACTCCATAAAAAAAGTGAGGCGATTAAGTATAGTATTTTAATTAACTATAGTAGATATAGTATTTTTATTTTAAGTATTCTGACACTATTCACTGTACCACCAATGTACATGACTTATGATGAATAAAGATGTTTGAATATGAATATGAATAAGAGAATAAGAGCTGTCTCTGGTTTGGACATTTCACTTGAGAAAAAACCTTAAATAAGAAATTACTAGGGATGGACGGGTCCCGAAATTTCGGGAATTTTTCGGGAAAAAAATATTCCCGATTATCGGGACGGGATTACATTTGACTCGGGAATTTTTCGGGACGGGATTTGGTCCGATCGTCGGCGATTTTTCCGCTTCGCGAGTGCCGATAACGCCGTTATTGCGAGCGATAGGTCCGCGAACGCAGGAGACGAAGTCATTTCGACGATTACGACGTGACCGCGGAGTCATAACGACGATCGCGCCGTGGCCGCGATTATTGGACCGACGATCGCACCGTGACCGCGAGTCATAACGACGATCGGGCTGTGACCGCGGAGTCATACCGACGATCACGCCGTGACCGCGAGTCATACCGACGATCATGCCGTGATGGCGAGTCATACCGACGATCGCGCCGTGACCGCGGAGTTCTACCGACGATCGCCCTGTGACCGCGGAGTCCTACCGACGATCGCGCCGTTACCGCGGAGTCATACTGACGATCATGCCGTGATGGCGAGTCATGCCGACGATCACGACGTGGCCGCGGAGTCCTACCGACGATTGCGCCGTGACCGCGGAGTTCTACCGACGTTCGCGCCGTTACCACGGAGTCATACCGACGATCGCGCCGTGACCGCGAGTCATACCGACGATCGCGCCGTGACCGCGGAGTCCTACGGACGATCACGACGTGACCGTGGAGTCCTACCGACGATCGCGCCGTGACCGTGGAGTCGTGCTGACGATCGCGCCGTGACCGTGGAGTCGTGCTGACGATCGAGCCGTGATCGCGAGTCATACCGACGATCATGCCGTGACCGCGAGTCATACCGACGATAACCCCGTGACCGCGGAGTCATACCGCCACGCGCCGTGACCGCGAGTCATACCGACGATCGCGCCGTGACCGCGAGTCATGACGACGATCGCGCCGTGACCGCGGAGTCATTCTGACGATCGAGCCGTGATCGCGAGTCATACCGACGATCATGCCGTGACCGCGAGTCCTACCGACGATCGCGCCGTGACCGCGAGTCATGACGACGATCGCACCGTGACCGCGAGTCATGACGACGATCGCTCCGTGACCGCGGAGTCATTCTGACGATCGAGCCGTGATCGCGAGTCATACCGACGATCATGCCGTGACCGCGAGTCATACCGACGATAACCCCGTGACCGCGGAGTCATACCGACGATCGCGCCGTGACCGTGAGTCATACCGGCGATCGCGCCGTGACCGCGAGTCATGACGACGATCGCGCCGTGACCGTGAGTCATACAGACGATCACCCCGTGACCGCGGAGTCATACCGACGATCGCGCCGTGACCGCGAGTCATACCGGCGATCGCGCCGTGACCGCGAGTCATGACGACGATCGCGCCGTGACCGTGAGTCATACAGACGATCACCCCGTGACCCGCGAGTCACAAGTTTCTATAGGTACCTGTAAATTGTTAACCATTTTTTGGTTTTTATAGATCATTGCCACAAATGGTAAAAATTGATTTCGTATATCTTTTTTGGTAACTGCAATACAGTACTTTCTTTTTATGCACAGAAAAAAATCCCGTCCCGTCCCGTCCCGAAAATCGGGAAGGAAATAAAAATCCCGTCCCGTCCCGTCCCGAACTAAAAATTCAATCCCGTCCATCCCTAGAAATTACAAACCTGGACTGGAGTGGAGAGTATCCACAGGATGAGGTTTTCCATAGACAAGCCAGGGACAACACAACACATATCCTTGTGAGATAGGTGTTCAGCATGCATCTTGTACATGTAGTACGTCATGGTAATCATACTTGTCACCCCAAACATTAGGGAGAAGAGGAATGAGTTTCTCCATTTGTTTATATCAGCTCTGAAAACAAAAGTATGATTCTGAATATAATATTTAATACCTCATGGGAAATATTCAAACCTCAACAACTAAGACAGATAAGGGCTTCAGAACAGATAAGGTTTAGTGGAAAGAAAATATTTAATATTTAAGTAAGTGCGGTTTAAACCCATACATTGGATCTATTCCCACTTAGGTTTCATTTAGTCAGTAACAACTTGAACACAAGTTGGTTTCACTTTATAAACCAGGCAACTGGTAATCAACTGTTAAACACTTTGAGTTAAGTGTACTTTTGAAATTAAATTAAATGAAAATACTTTTTTATTTATGTGAACATTAGGACCACATGGTCCTTTCTTACAGTTAACCTCTTATGTACTAAATTTAAACTAAACAATACATTTTTATAACACGTTTTAAACAAAGTTTATAACTTTTAAGCTTTTAAACAAAATAATAAGTAAAAATTTAAGTGACAAATCTTTGTCCCTAACATACACATACACACACACATTCACTCTTTGCCAAACCTAGGCCTAACGCAGGCCATACCACCAAGCCACGGCCATACCGCCAAGCCACGGCCATACCGCCAAGCCACGGCCATACGATCGAGGTAGTACGCTTTCAGCGCCGGCGTCAGTCTGGAACGGGATTCTATGGTCCTTCAAGGAAAACCTACGGATTTCCAAAGGCGACATGCTGTTACCGTAAAAGATCTATTAAAAACAGTTGTCTTATGGTGAGGAATTTTTGTTCGCAAGATAATTTGGAATTTCGAGATTGATGGACCAATGAGTTATATAAATAATGTGTATTTCTCCAACGTCAGACAGTTTTAAGAGAGAAGAACTTATGTACTACGGTGTGACGTTATCATCTCGTCGAAGATCATACAAAACCCATATACAGTAGACTCCCTCTTATCCGGACACCTTTTAACCGGACGGCGGACATCGGTTTAACCGGACTAAACTCGGCAGAATAACATCTCTTTAACCGGACAATGTTTATAAGCACGTCAGTTTAACAGGACTAGATCGGCAGGAAGTGGGCGGTACTGACACGACTGTTCTCATGGGAAAGATTTGAGACCAGTGATATGCAAATACAATTCTCTGAAATATAATTCAAATATTGTATACAGTATGCATTTAAAGTAAACGGTCTGTTTTAACGAGTTTTTGGGGACGTCGGATTAACCGGAAAACCGTTATCCGGACTGGCCTAGGTCCCGAGGAGTCCGGATAAGAGGGAGTCTACTGTACAGTAATTTAGAGCTCGTTGCAATTTTGTTGCCAAAGCCACGGTCATATCATTAACAGTAATTGAAGTGGGGAAACAATAGTGAATTGATCAGTGAAGTCTAATGTGAAATGGTAAAAGTCTTTGCATCTTCTTCAGTGTGTGGACAGCGGCAAACACCCTTTTACAGATGTTGACCACCGTGTTGGTCAAGTCTAGTGTGTTGTGTATGGTCAAACCAAGACTTTTAACTTTGTCTTGGTATGGTAATACAGTACCGTTCACAGTGATGTGAGGTAAAAAGTTTTGGTCAAGTCGGTTGAGTTGTTGTGCATGTCCATAATAAGTATCATAATGATGATTTGTTAAGTTTTAGTCCATTCTTTGCTGCCCACTCCACAATTCTGTTGGTGTGGTCGTTCATTGATGTAATTTTTTCATTCACTACACTGACTTTGAAGTGAGCGTAGATTTGTAAGTCATCAGCGTAAGAATGAAACTTGGCGTGTTTCAAAACTGAACTGATGTCGTTTATGTAGATAGTATAAAGTAAAGGGCCATGTATTGATCCTTGAAGAACACCACAAGGTTAGGCCTCCAGTCAGACATCGTTTTGCGAGGTTGGCTGTGGTTTTGTGCTTCTCTTAGGGGTGAAAAAATGAAATGAAATGAAATGAAAATTATTTATTTAAACAGGCAATGTTAGGGCCTCGTGGCCCTCTCTTACACTTAACCTGTGGATTAAATTCCAATTGTATACTCTACAATACTACAATCTATTTACAATATTTAATGTAAAAAAAAAACAATAAATTTTTAAAACCTAGAATACTTGATATATTTACCACTTTACATAAACACCTCTCACAAACGCACGTACACCAACTCACATACCTGTCAGTAAACAACCAAGCGCACGCCTAGGACATACCAAACATGGCCATACGTCCAGAAAACAGATTTTTTAGTGCTACCACAAACCGGGGATGGCTATCAAGGGTTTTAATGGCTAGAATGAGATAATTCCAAAGGCGACAATAGGGATGGACGAGATTGGATTTTTAGTTCGAGACAAGACGAGACGAGATTTTTTATTTCTCATAAAATTTTGAGACGAGATCGAGACGGGATTTCCCTTCTCATACACAACGGGAAATGCACGTTCAGAATTTTTACCTGATTTTGTAACATTGTTAGATGACTGTTTAAATACAAAAATAATGATAATAGGCAAGAATATTTACAATCTGTTATTAAAAAACATCAGCATAACATTTTTTTATTAATCACGCCTAACTTATTAAAAATTCCTACGATTAGGAAACATAGTGATATCAGTTAGGATAGAGTTAAACTTATCCTAAAATAAAATAAATCATAAAATAAAATATTAATTTTTATAAAATAGTTATTGGTTTTGACTTTTTTTATAGTAATAAAACATTCCTCACACTGCTAACACTTAACAAAACTTCTCAAATGTTATTAAAATAATTAAAGTAATATTTACATTTGAAGAATTAATTAAATAAGAACGCCTTCGCAAAGGAAACGCAACTACAACACGGTCCTGTATTGCGGGTATTGCATTGACTTTCTGCAGGCGTTTTTAATTTTTTTTTTTTTTTTTCTCGTCTCGATAAAAATCTCGGCCAAAAAGAAATCTCGTCTTAAAATTTCGGGAAATTTCGAGACTTGACCATCCCTAGCGACAAGCAATCCTTAATTAAGCGATTTATGGGTGAATCCTAATGTAAATTTAATCAGTTTTTTTAGCACTTTTTTTCTCAGGATTTTTGTATTACAAAAATGATGGAGTCGAACCTTAAATACTGATTTTTCAAGGCTCGTGCATTGTTATTGTAAATCAATCGTTTGCATGTACAAAAACTAACTTTGTGCACTCCAAACAGTGTTGACACACATTACCATTTAAGGATTAAATGTGTTAAGATAAATTGACCGGTTAAATACAATTTTTCTTTTGAAGTTAGGCGTAGTTCATTTTTTTGTTGGAAAATTACAACAAATAATTGTCATAACAATTGCATTGAGCTATGTGTGGTAACCACGGATTGTAAGAAGTATATCAATGGGGTGTATCATAATAAGTATAGTAGTAATTTTTCTTATATTGCTTGGAACTGCTCTCTAAAATTAGTGTGTTGCTAGCCTAGTAGTTATCATCCCAGATGTTGGTGCAAATACCCAACAAATCTACAAAAGTTTTATGGGTTTGGACCACTTTCCCTTGAAACCAAGTTAGTAATTATTTAACGTAAAATTCCACTGGAGTAGGCAATTTAAAACAAATCAATATGTGCTTTGAAAGGCTCCAAACGAACCTGTGGTCCAGATAGCCTCTGGCTTCTCTCTCTCTGTTTGTAAGTAGTTCCGCTGTGAAGCCTAGTTTCTGGATACCCTCACAGATGTCTCTTGGACCTGTTAACTCTGGATCGTAAGTGAACTTTCCTCTCTGTGTTGTCAGCGAAACAACCGCAGTTAACACTCCTTTGATTTTCTTTATGTTGGTTTCGATCTTGCTCACACAAGATGCACAAGTCATCCCTCCAATCTAAAAGAAACAACTGTACTGAGATAGGTTGTTATGTGTTTTTTGCTCGTTTTAGTTAGTCAGTTTTTTTAATTATTAATTTTGGTTAGAAACCTCCCTACTTTTAATAGGAGTAAGTCTAATTTAATATGCCTAGTATGATTGCTAGTAAAATGTATTATACCTAATGAAATGAGCACTACTTATCATATAATTGAACAAAATTGAGTAACAATGATGCAGTTAAATTACGGTTGTGTGAATCCCACTGTAGTTTAACAAAATCTTAACTACCTTAAGTTCGGCAGATCCAACACCCAAACCTTCATCGTCAAGGACAGTCGTTGGGAATCCAAGATCAGAGATGGAGGCAGCAATCTGTTCTGGCTTTACTAAGTTGGCATCATACTTCACATCTGCTTTGGCTGCCAGTAGGGCCACCAGAATACTTTCCACTCCTGCCAACAAGATAGAATAAGATTTGGTTCAAGGAAAGGCTCCAGGCCAGGATGTTGATATGTAGAATAAATGGATACCTACTAGCCTACCTAAGAAAAAATCCAGGTGGGCCATACTACTTGCAAATTAAAGTTTATACAAAGTCTTCTTGGCATAGTCTACACTTGACAAAGTCCCCCAGGAGAAGAAATTTGGCAAATGTTCTGAATTAAATTGAATTGAAAAATTCTTTATTGTTCTTTTCAAATACAACAGGTACAATACAATACATATTTATACACTAAGGTTGTACATAAGTATTACATGTTATTGTATTTATTCATTCGAATATAAACTAAAAACTAAATACTCTTCACAACATAAATCTAACTAATTATTTTATTAAATGACGAACCATAAAGCCCTGAGGTTACAGAACCTGTGCGGGAAACATTGGTAATTGGAGCAACTTGTGGTTGGAAAGTCCAGCCCGTCACCATTACCACAGTAGTTTTATTACAAAATTAAAAACAATGTATAAAACAAGGCTTCAAACAACAGCTTTAACACAGCAACCTATCACAACTACCTATCTATTTGAAAACTAACCCTATACTGTCAATCTTCGTGATTACAGTACTATTTTGGAGTGTCCTGAACTTACAGCTTATTTGAACATAACGAGCATCTCTGACTTAATAAGTGCAAGATTATTAAAAATAACTATGATGTATTGTTAGACCAATGAGGTAAAAAATGTGTTTATACTATCTATTTCGAGCAAGTAGTTTCGTGTTAATTTGCTGAATACATTGACGTTTTCACTTGCTTTGATGGGCTCGGGAAGAAGGTTATAAAATATGTATCTGTATCTGGTTATGTTCTGTATCTTCTGTGTGGATCTGTACTTTCCTTAAGGCAGGCTAGATGCTATCTCTTTATTCTACACATCACAATAACAGAATAAAAGTTAGAAATGCACTATTAAAGGGTTACTTTAGATCGAGATTGAACTTGTTTAATTGATCTGAGAAGAATTAAATCGGGAGTATTTAGTCTAACAGTCAGTTGAAGTTGAATCAAAGTGTTGAACATATTTTAAAAACTGATAAATCTGCTGAATTTCAAATATGTACTCCGACCGCATGACTTAAAAAAACTTGTTTAAGCATAAAGAGAAAACACGCTCAAATCAAAACCAATACCTGACTGAATGACTGTTTCTGAGAAAAGTCCAGATCTTTTTAATGGTTCCAAAATAGACCCAGCTGCCCTTGACAAAGGGTTTTAATAAATTATCCTGGTTAATGAAACCAGCTGTTCTTAGTCAATAACACAGCTATCCTAGCTAGTGTTTATGTTGGGTTGTAAATATATTCAGCGTTCACTCATCTTCACCTTAAAATACACTTCCTTCGTGTGTCAGAGTCGTAAAGATCTAATCAAATCTCTCTGCCACAGGCTCTTAGTTCAAAAAGGTTACTATCCACTGTACAGTATCTCTTTTATTTTTTTAATTTTTGATATAAATACATCAAAACTCACCCGCAACTTTCTTGTAGCAATGTTTCTCAATGGCTGCCACACAGGATGCACAAGTCATCCCTGATATGTGCAGAGAACACTTCTTCAAATCTCCATCACTGAATATGGTAACTTTGGCATCTTTTTTCTCATCATTTTTCTGTTTTTTACCTGTAAGAAGAATGTTCAAGATTAGTTAAATTTGTGACTAATATTATATTTTGAATAGATAAGCTTGAGGAAAGAAGTCCATACTAAGTACTAAAGGCATATTAATGTGCTGGTTTTTTTATGATGCCCACGGTGTGGCTTGCCAGTGCAGCCAACTTTGTTCATTTGGTCACCCAAGATTAGGGGTGTTCAATGCATCGAAAATGCATCGAAATTCCAATTTGATTCGCGATTTGATTCAGTGGTGGTCAAAAAACGATTCGATTCATGAGGGAGTCAGTATCCATATACGAAAAACGCCTGCAGAGAGTCAATGCAATACTTGCAATACAGGAGCGTGTTGTTGTTGTGTTTCCTTAGCGAAGGCATTCTTATTTAATTAATTCTTTGCATGTAAATATTGCTTTAATTGTTTTATAATTTTTTGTTTTGACATTGCAAATCATCAGAGGTTTTGTTTTTTGTCTTGATGTAAGCTGTGTGAGACGTGTTTTAATACAGTAAACATAGCCAAAACAAGAGACACCAAAATCATTCTAAAAATAACACAAGTCTTTAAAATTTTTACTTCATACTTAACTAACAAGATTGATGTTTTAGACTGATAAATTTGGTATTTTTGTTGGTCTAAAGCTATGTATACCTTGTAGTTTGCAGGTCTGATGCTATCCTCTCATTTGATCAATGCAAACCAATTGAAAGTGTGGTCTAATACCACATCAACAAAAATTTGCATTACACAAATGTGCTAAATTTTAATTACCGTATTGTTAATTCACTCCATTAAAAAGGATGAATAGAAAAATGCTGAATTGCTTTGAATCAAGTTATTTTTTGCTGCTTCGCACATCCCTACCCAAGATCGACCCATGTTTATTGGTTTTGAGCTATTTGTGCGTGAAGAAAAATATACAACGAGGAAGGGGGAGGTGGCCTGTACGTGGTGAAGTGAATGGGACTTTCGCGGTGTGCTGCGAAGTGATTGTATTATTTCAATGATTTAAACAAATAATGTAAACCTAAATATGCTTGCCCTGTAAATTTTTTTCCCAATTACATCTCTTTACTCGTGCCATTCAATCCATTACAATGATCATTTATTTACAATGATTAGGCAATTCCATTATTGTGGATAATAGAGCTAGAGGTATGTTGGCAGTGCTGCATTCCGCCCAATGGAAACCGCCGTGGCATAAAAAAGGATTCCATTTGATCCTATGTAAAAAAACTCCCCAACGGAACTCCCAATGGATTCCGCCCGACGGAAAACGTCGTGCATGAAAGAAGCCTAATATTTTATCATGACAATAATCCCATACTAAAGATCAAGGCAAGTACTTCTAAGAACTTGTTGAGGCATAACAGCATTGTTTTACTTAACAACACGAGTAACGGACCAATGAGGTTCAAGAGTTGAGAGAAAAGAAGTAAAATTGTGATGCTTTGAACTTCACTAATCAGCTGTTTACCAATTTAATTGTTTAAGTATAAGTAGTGTACGAAAATCGCATAAATAGTCTTAACGGCACTCGTAGAAGTTTTTATGGCACTCTCCAGGGCTCGTAATTTGTTTGTTTGAAACTAAAAGTGCTAGGCTAATTTGAGAATGTGTTGAGGGTATTTAGGCTAATGTGTCACAGTCATTAAGTTTAAGTTTCAAATTGTAAATGTTAACTTTAAATTAAATGCACTTTGCATAAGTTAGTGAGTAAAAAATATACACTTTTCTTTATTTTATGGGTTTTCTAACTATTGTTCAGTAAGTTTACTTGTTGATTCAAAACATTTTATTCTACTAATAAATTATTTACATATTAAACTACCCTATCACTATATAACAATGTCTTTTTTATTTAAACTATTTATCTAGACCTACTTACTTCAATTGCTCCTGATGACTTATCTTCTATTGCATTTTATATTAAAATACTTTTTGACCCAGTATCCAATGTACAAACAGGTTAGATCCTGAATGAGTGAAGATGTTCATGTTCTTAAATATTAATTTATCACCAGTAGACAATACTGGTGCCTCCAATACCAACCATATTACAGTTTTCAACAAAATTACAACCTCATTATAATTTGTAAATACAGTAGACTCCCTCTAGTTCGGCCACCTCGGGACCGGACCACTGGCAGGAATACAAAACGGCCGGACTAACCGGATGTAGTGCATTTTACATGATCAAAATACAAATAATGGTATTGCACAATCATGATATGTTAAATAACTAGCCTTGGTTCAGTAATAGAAATTGTAACGTTTAAAATCACGCTTGCTTTCTTAATCAAAACAAAAATTACACAACACTGTACGTACAGCAATAAATCATGTAAAGAACAGAACAATAGAAAATCAGTTGTGTAAAGAGCAGATAAATGTCAGTGCAAGCGGATAGCTTGACCTTGTAGCTAAAGATGGCTATTTCTTTGTTTTGCTTCAATTTAATTTTGTCAAATAAACCATGGTGTTTAAAAAACAATAATGGGGGAACCTACAGCATAAAAAATGGTCCGAAATATTTAATTATACATTGCATTTCAACACATTAGACTGAAGAAAAACTATTAAACTTTAAAATGTTCTTGGTATTTTTGAGGTTATGTAACATAGTTTTTTACATAGGTAATATGCAACAATTCACCCATAGAAGCACTCGTCAACTAAACTGACATGAATTGTTTACTTCTATGGCCGGAAACTAAACATTCAAGTTGAATCCTGTCAATTGTCATTCGCCCGTGACGATATGACTTGTTCCCCCTGAGACCGGACCGGACCATTCTAGAGGGAGTCTACTGTATAGCCTTGAGTTATAACCTTGAATTTTTAAATAAGTTAAGACAACTGTGAATTGTACCTATAGATAGGTAGGTACTATAACGTATTATTGAGGGTAGGGTATGTTGTCTAATCTAATCCTGCTTCAAAACATAATAGCCCTCGCATGAAGTAAGGTAGCCTACAGATTTAATTTTTAAACATGTGTACTATTTTTGTATGAGTAAAGACAAAAAATGGATTTGAATAATAAGCAATTTAAGGAGGAAAACAGAAAAACCGAAAACCAACAATCGAGAACCAATTTAAGAAAAGCTAAACCAAAACCGTTTAGTTTAATTTAGCAACCGATCCATCACTATCTAAAACCATTAGACTATGATTTTTACAAAAGTGTTAACAGATGTAATTTATTTTTAATTAATATAATACTTACCCGGGGATGGTGGACGACCATTAACAGTAAAAACTGTAGCTTTAAACCCTGCTTCTTCCACTTTTTGTGCAATTGATTTTGGATCAGTCTTTGTACTTTTGTATTTTACCTCTAATTCTTTCCCTTTTAAATTAATGTCAAGAAATTCAACTCCTTCTATTGCATACATGATACCTATAATATAAAAAAAACATACTTTTAATACAAAAATTACTATCGTTATATTGAAATATTCCACTGTCTCTATAGAACTTTTGCTTAATTATACTTAGGAAGTAATGATTGTTTGGTATGTATTATTTCTAAATTGTAAGATAAAATCTTACAATTATTTTTTTATGTTGACATTTCGTAGATTTAACTGTTGTTGAACACACAAATTTTACTACTTCAATGACATTATCTGATCTGAAATAAACCATTATTCACTAAAAGCTTTAAATCTTTGAACATTCCAATTCATTTATGTTCTTGTTCTTAACTACCATTCTGCATTTCTATTGCAGAGTATATTTATTTTTTACATCACATTACATTTGAACATAGGCAAAAAGCCCGGTTAAACCGACGTCCGGTTAAAAGGTGTCCGGAGTCTACTGTATTGTGACTATTTGCCATGGTCTTGGGAAGGTCATCACCGTTTCCCACAATTGTGGCTAAAATCTTGTTCATCCTCTGCAATCTTGTCTAAATATGAACATCTCCCATGGGATGAGGAACAATATCGTCTTCCGCAATAATGAAATCCTAGACAAATCCCATGGTCACGGAAAAATATCATCGTCTTCCGCAATTGTGGCAAAATATTAAACATCTCCTTAACACGCAGGGACATCATCATCGTCTACAGCAATAATGGATACTATATCGTTGTTAGGAGTTTATCTGCAGCCACGACAAACTCTTAAATATCTCCTACGGTTAAGGAAACATCGTCTCTCGCGATGATGACAAAATATTGAACGTCTCTCACCGTCATAGAAACACCATCATCGTCTTCCCTAAACAAATAAATGTCAGTTAATCTATTAATTTGGCCTCCTCGGATTATCTGACATTTTCACTGTTCTGACCATGGTCCTGGTTTCATAGGTGACGGATTAGCGAGGTTGTACTGTGGTACCATGCGAGTGCTATGCCAATTTGACTTATAAAGAAGCTTATTGTATATTTAACGTGTTTACTTTGTAATTTCTAAACATTCACAAAATTGTAAAGACAGCCTTAGTAGATAGAAAGTATACAGACAAAATAAAAACTTACTCTCTAAATCTTTGGTTTCAATCAAAATATCTTCTACTTTTATAACACAGCTCTGTAATTGACTATCTTCACTGGGCAGAGACGCCTCGAACCCAGAGTCTTCAATAGCTTCTAATAGCTCGTTTACGCCCACAATACTGGGATCGTAAACTATGGTCCCATTCTTCTTCTCTAGATTTACCTGTAGTGACAAAATGTTAAGTATATGTTATTTCCATTGTAGTCCAACATAAATGGTGTTAAGGTAAAATTTAGTTTAGGATACAACTATTTTAATGTATTTAAGCTCGACTTGATTTCCTTCTTTTTAATTAAGAGTTTGACAACCTCTTTTACAAATGCATTTGCCCCTTCAACTCTTCATAGGGCCTTGGGTCTATGCTTAGAATGTATCGAGCAAAGCAAGGAGTGAGCTTGTACAGAACAAGAATGCCTTTTACTGATAAGTTTTAGTGGCTGCACCAGGACACAAACCCACGACATCACTGCCACGGATTGGTATTCCGTTTTGGTAGCGACTCATCATTCCATTTTCCTGTTTTTGCAGAATCCAAATCTATTGGTCATTTATATAGCTTCAGGAATTCCAGTCAATAATTTCTGAATTAATTTTAGATAACATAAATGGTACATTTAATTTTATAATGTCTATAAAAAATTATCACAATAGTTCATAGGCACATCGTTAGTATTTTCAGTAAAATTTAATGCTGTCACAACAAATTTATAAAAACCCATACATGTCTTTATAAATGGTAAATTTTAGTTATAAATCATTTAAATCGACATCATAAAAATATAAAAGATGATAAGATCAAAAATACAAATGTTCCACATGCAATAAAACTTCTACTCTTGGCTCAGATTCCTTGTTAAACTTATTACAGTTTGGACTCTTATCTGTAACAGGGAAATATACAACTATGATCATAGTAACAGCCACTTATGGAAAACATGATAACGAACACCAATACAATCAATCGTTATCCTTGACACGGCAAAGAAAATATTCCCACACTATAGTAGACACAATAAATATATAGAAAACTCAATACAAAAAAATCAAATGGTCTAGTGAAATAATTACCTCTTGAATTATTATTAATAACTTTATTCAAGATATGTAACTTCATAAGACATTCATTTGAGTTACAAAGAATAAAATAAACCAATGATTCGTCGACATTGTTAAGTTGTAAACATAAAAAATAATGAAGCAGCCAAGAACAATACACAATTGACTTCAACAATTAGATGGGTTTATAGGTACCTCATCCATTAAAACGTCATTGGTGTAGAGAAAAAAAATAAAAAACCAAATATTTTTAGATCTTCTATCATAACAATTAAGTTTTGGTAACAAGCCCTGTTAAGAAGCATTTACAAACATACAATTAATTTTTAAAATTGTAAATACGATTTATTTTAAACAAAACCACATAAGTAGGTCTTCAAGTAACATATTCATGATAACAAACAGTAAGTCTTTGCATAACCTGGAATAGCTTGTTATATTTAAAAATTGTTTTTCAATTTTAAATAATTATTGCACATGTGTTATTAATAAGCATTTAGTTAAAAACTCAACTTAATGTTGTAATAATCTGTGTTTTCAGTAACCTTTTGGCATAAATAATGATGAAATATGCACAATTAATCTATGCAAATAAGGAAAATTCCTAGAACGACATAAATAAATCATGATTTTTTTATGCCGAATATGGCAGTTTATAAGTACACTGTACAATTTCTTTGGGTTTTAGTGTCTAAGCCAGTAGAACTTTGTAAGGAAGAATAAAAAATAATTTAGGAGAAAGCAGTCTAAATCCCTCAAATATTTGTGAATATGTCCATGATCGGCCGGTACCCCTAACGCACCAAAGTCTGAGATGCACACTTCCTACTCCTTGTTTTATCTGAATACATAATTTATAAAAAAAAACTAAACTAAACTATTGTTATTTTATTTTTGTGGCCCTGATTAAAATATATGGCTTTAAATGCTTGTAAATTTAAATTAGGAACATTTTTGACACACTAGTAAAATCAGTGATTCTCTAATTCCTTTTGAATCTATACAAACAATTATCTATAGCAGGTAAACCTTATCTAAGATTTCATTTCAGAGGTTATAAAATCCATAATACTCACGGAGATCGAGATGACTCCAGCTCTTTGGCTTAGGTTGGACTCGATGTTGTTCACGCAAGACTGACAGGTCATCCCTTCAATCCCAATCACCACAGTTTTTTGTGCTTCTGGAAGGGATGCTTCAAACCCCATGTCATCAATTGCATCACGTATTTGCTCAGGATTGGTTCCCTCAGGGTCGTAAACAACTGTTGCGTTTTTATTTTCTAAACTGACCTAAAACAAATAAATAAGATTGTTAGTGGGCTACATTTTACAGGGTGTTTAATTGTTTACTCATAGTCTATTAGCTTGGTGCAACAAATACTTTTGTTGGAATTATACACTTTTCTTCTATAAACTCAAGAAATATTTTAAAAACTTTGTCTTCTTTAGTCACTGTATAGTAAAATATACAGTGACTAAATTAATAAAATAAAATATCACAAAAAATAATAGTGGGGCAAAATATTAGAACACACCTGATAAGCTATGACAAAACTGTTTATTCCATATAATATCAGTAGATTACAATAGGTGTGTACAAAATATTACAATTATTTTTTAACAAGAAAACTTAACTGGTTTTGGCACTTCAATATCTTAGTAATAAACTGAGAAAAGAAACTGACAAGTCTGTTTGGTTTTGTAAGAACCCCAAAGTTGACCCTAGTTATTAGCTTTTCTTTAACTGTTTTAAATGACTTTTTCCCATAAAATGGCTCCATAAAAAAACAATAACTATTAAATGTATGCAAGTTGTTTGTTAAAATATGTTTTGTGTCGTTTACAGAATGTTACATATAGCTTAACGAAGGAAAATTAAATGAAAGTTATTTGGGTAACAGTGTTAAACTTTGATTTAAAACCTAAGGACTACAGGAAATAAGTAAAATTATGTAATTCAATAAAAACTATACAAAATTGAAATTTCTATAATTTGAAAGATTTTTTGGACTTAGCCTCATTGAAGCAATAAATAAAACTTTGCACCCCTATTTTTTTTTCAGAGAGTTGTTAAAAAGAGCCATTTTTAGATAATTTGGGAACAACAAATACAGTAGACTCCCTCTTATCTGGACACCTTTTATCCGGACATCGGTTTAACCGGACTACACTCGACGGAAATGACATCTCTTAAACCGGACAATTTTTATTAGCTCATTGGTTTAACCAGACTAGATCGGCAGGAAGTGGGCGGTACTGAAGCGACTGTTCTCGTGGGAAAGATTTGAGACCAGTGATCACATGTCTAAATACAATGCCCCCCATAAAATTTAAGTCAAATATCACCGTAAACGGTCCGTTTTAACGAGTTTTTGGGGAAGTCGGCTTAACCGGAAAAACAGTTATCCGGACTGGCCTTGGTCCCGAGGAGTCCGGATAAGAGGGAGTCTACTGTAATATCAAAAGTGAAATATAATGGAAATTGTTAAGTACATGAATTAATTCATACAACCTTTCCCTCGGTTAAAACTCACTAGGTTTGATTACAATTTTATGAACCAAATCATTTGATGATAAATAGTTTGTTTATCTCAGTTTTTAATATTACTGATGGGCAACAAAATTGGCTTATTTCAGAATCCAAGCAGCACCACAAAGCCAATGATGAATTAAATGAATATATGTATAAACATAAATGATTAGGTGTTACTTTTAATTATACTGTTTTCACTGCTGTAAATGTTTACTTTCTTAATTTAACATTACATTCAATCTTTTTTTTCTTGTATCTACGCCAGTGGCATTTTTGTTATGAAGTTATTTCAAAAACTTTTTAGGGAAAGCGGTCCAAACCCATTAAAGTTTTGTGGATGTGCCGGGGATTGAACCCAGTCCGAGATGCCAACCACTAGGCTAGAAACACAACCAAATAATTAATAATCTCTGTTTAATAACCTAACTAAGCCAATTGTTGAGAACAAATCTGATTACATAAGTAATTGATTAGGTGTTCTCCTAGTTTTTCTCTTTATTTATTATGCTACATAACCACTGAGTAACCCATTTTTTGTTAAGATTATGTGTACACAACTTACAAATTGTTCCAAGAATGATAAGGTGACTGAAAATAATTGTTTAAACCGTAGAATGTATAATTTTTGAATTATTTGTCTGTAACCTGCCATTTACGCCTGTCAACATAATATATTTATGAGCTATTTCATGTTCATGCACTTAACATTACCTTGATAGATATTATCCCTGGTTGTGTTTTTAAGTTGCCTTCAATGCTGTTGACACAACTCGTGCAAGTCATCCCCTCCACTCCCAATACAATTTTTTCCGGCTCCAGGTCATCCTCTTCATCGCTGAAAGAAACAGTTCATTATTAATTTACTGGCAGTGGTAAACTTTTAACTTTACTAAATACAACTTGGGGGTTGTGTATAAACTAATACACAACTCCAGAAAGGTTAAAAAATTATACTAAGTATATTTTAAACATTAGTTCTACGAAAACTTTTCTAGCTTTGGAGTTATAATAAAAATAACTTCTTGATCAGCATTGTACGTGTTATTAAATTTAGGGAAAGTAAATAAAGATACATCTTATAACACTTAAAACATATATTTACGCTTATACTGTTACTCACAAGACGGTAAATATACAAAAGACGGTAAGTGGTACAAATAAAAATAAAAAATAGTTAACTTCACAAACGGCAACAGTTGGTTGTTGTTATACAGAATTGTGTTTTGTGAGAGGAGTCATTCTTACAAAAACTACTAAACACCAAAAATATGTTTGCTATGTGGGACAACTTTGGGTGTAAATCATGACAAAACAAATGTTTATTATCGGCTTAATCTTAAGTCAGATCAATTTCTGTCCTAATTTCCACTTCGCTATTTTAATAATAAAGCTCTCTATTAACTGTTAGCTCTGTACTATCTGTGTTAGATAGTAAAAAAACTATGTTCCAACAGTTTCCTTGCTGAATAAAGTGGAAAAATGCCATAGGCATTAAGATTTACTGAAAATAGAGTACTACTCTATTTTATCTAGTATAATTTTCCTAGAAGCCACATTAGTTAGTTGTGAAATATAGTCAAGCATTTATCATATTTCATGCAACCAAATATAGACAAAGTTAGATGCCAAGAAATACTGTTTCAAACAATCAGGTAAAAAAGCCTCTTCAGAGAAGAAATGGAGGATATTAATATGTAGCAGAAAATTACTGGACCAAAATGTTGACTCGCCCAGTACCATGATTGATATATTACGACAGTCTTTTGGGTGCCATGACGAACTGAATATTCTAACCATTATTTTTGCTCAATAGGTTTTTCATTTCCATACTACACACATTCACCTTCTGATTTTCATTGCTTTGGTACTGTAAGAACGGTTTATATTACATTGAACTCGCATAATTCTTATTATGAAAAATTATAATTAGAAGTTTGAATGTCATTCTTAACAAATTTTATAATTGATTTAATACTTTTATAGTCATATCATACAGTTAAAATTTTGAAGAAATACAAATAAAACTACCAGTAACCAAACAATTTCTTACTTGTTGAATTGGTTTAGTATTTTTTTAACTTTGAAAATTAAAATAAATTATATAACCTGGTATCCACACACACACACATTTAATCTCTTCTGCATTAACAGACACTTTCTAAGCCATGCTACAAAGCCATAGAACAATCAAAATATTGAGGTAATATTTTTCAGCGGCAAAAGCAATTGATAACTTCTTGTAACTTTGGTTCAAGAACCAGGAAATTAATTTATTACGTAATTATGTGGTAAAGTGTCAGTTTTCTGTCATAAGGTCACTGATTTCAATCTTCCAATCACCAATAGTATTAAGCTAATGATATATGGTTTGTAACCCACCATAAGCTATAAGTCTATCTATCAAGAGGGAGAGAGATCTAACAGCACAATAGAACTGTCTCTTTACGCAGCATTCAACTATGAGGCAACAATCTCTAGCATCCCTTCAGCTCGAAAATTTTGAACTAGGTTACTAAGAATGATTAGAAAAGATTGATTTTTTATTTTAAAATTCCTAATATCCGCAAAATGTCAAAAAAATTTATACATTAAAGTGTACCTTGATCACCCCCACCTAATGCATTGATTATATGATAGATGCAATTTTGCTGTCAACACATAATTGAGGTCTTTAATTACAGTTTTGTATTAAAAGAACAAACAAAGCTTGTGAATTTCAAGCATTGAGAGGTTAGCAACTGTTAACACTATAACCAGCTGTTTATACTGAAGACTCAATAGTACAATAGTCTTATTTGTGACTATTGTTTCCTTTACCATTGTGGAAAAAGTCCACATACTAATAATAATTAACATGTAAGGTAATAAATTTAAAATTTATTAAATAATTTTGTACCATTTAGTCTGTCTACATTACAAATTTACAATATATTGCGAAGTAAATACTTCAAATTGATCTATTAATATGGCTAAGTCTTCCTTGTCATAAATATTTACAAATACTTACGAATCTTTATATGTATATATCAAACCACTACCAGACGTGGTAGCTACATCCCACGATTCAATGCTAACCTCATCCCAAGATATAAGATGTTCGCTAGACATTCTGATATGTTAAGAATAATGTAGCAACACTGAATTTCACTTAATATTAAACTGATTTTTCTAAAAACACAATCAGTGAGAATGTAAAAACAGTTTTCCTAAATATGGCGACCGACTAGGATTTGTTACATTATCAAACTGACAATACAAAAGTTCACTTAGGTTAACTGATATAATCTCAATGTCAATACTTATCGAGAATCCACACTCAGAAAATATCCCCTCCTTCATTGATATTTAAAGATGCTTGTAATAAATGTGTGAGTAAATAGAATTATGTAACTACAAGCAACTTTATCAACGACCCAAGTATTGTTTCATCTACTTTTATTTTTTATTAAATTTATGCTTTTACAGTTAACATGTTGACCGATCAATATTTTTTAACATGACCTACTTAAAAAAAATTTAAATTGACATTCAAAAGAATTACTCTATATTTTACTATCAAGCAAAATCCACCTGAACAGTAACGTAACAAATATGTGTTATTGTAACAAGGTATATGATTTTTATATTCACTTAGTATTATACAACTTAAGTCTTTCATACAAATTATGGTATGAAACTAAAACGTTTCTACACCATGAACAGAACAAAACTAGTGTGATTAATAAAATATTGAAAACAAAGAGCATTATCTGATTTCATGTTTACCTTAAAGTAAGGTTAAAATACAACCAGGTTGATCAAACATCACACTACTGTACGGTGAATAAACACAGTTATTTGATGAATTTGCAAAATTATAAGGTTTTTAGAGACAGTTATTTACTTATCAATTTAGAAAATTTTAAATAAAAAATGCAAATAATATTTATAGATAGTCACTGAATATCTGTAGGTTTTGTTGATTGGTCAAATTGTATGCTTACCTCTGTTTCAAAGCAGACCACTTGATCATTGATCTATTCATTTTTTTAAACACAATAATAAGTTTTAAGATTTATAGATGTCACAAACTCTTGTCGCACAACACTTTTGAAAATCCCATCTCCAAAAAATCTCTCCACACTAGTTTTTGTTTATTTGCATGGCATATAGTTTTTTTTTATTTAATTTAGTGAAAAATATCAACTAAAATAATAAAACAATAATACCAAGAGTAGATCATAAAACTCTTTTCTTTATAAAATGTTCACTACAAACAAGATAATAGTTCAGAGATTTTAAAATAATTATACACCTCTTATAAAGTTTTATAGGTTGAATGAGTTACATTATTACAGATTATACTCCTTTTGGTTGATTGAGCCATGAAAACTATTTTGTTTCATATTGTAACAGGTTAAATTTTAAAATAATTAATTGCAATATTGAGTGGTTTATTTCTACAAGTTAAAAATTACTTTGACAATTTCTTTAAAAACGTTTTTTTTTATATGAAATCAATTGTTTTTACTGTAACAAACATCAAGGAAATTTTTTAGCACACAAATAGTATATATATTTAAGTTTACCCAGTATTTAAACAAGCAAGTTGAAAAAGTTGTCAAAGTTTATCATTTTAGATAGTTTTTATCCATTTAATACTAAACTAATGATTATACATTCAAACCTTTTCCCTTTATAAAAGTGAAAATAGCAAAATTAAACAGATGCAAATTACATACTTATTCACACACACTTAAAAGTGTTAAACTTGAATATCAAAATATTATCAAAGTTATAACCTTAAAACTGACTGTCTTATCATATAGCACCACCTACAATACAAAGATAATACAAATTTATAGCCTGATAGTCACACATCAACAGAAAAGTTGCAAATGTGAACTAAAGAGACCCAATAATGTAGGTCTAATCATAATAGAACTGTAATTTAGAAACTCCACAGGCACATACTTTCACTGCTCTGGTTATACTGGACTGGATAACTGGATGCCTTGACTTAGCCTCACTCCTTTCACCTGAGTTTAGGAGGGGGAAGGGGGGAGTTTGCAAGCCCACCAGTCAGTCACACATGTCTACTGAGTTATAAGACTCAATGAAAGAAATTATCATCAATGTTGGTGAGTATACTTATTAATTGTAAGAACTATGGATACTAACAATCATTCGTTGCTTTTGAACCGTTTAAAATAAATTATCCTAGGTTTAAATAGAGATTTGTTAAATAAATCTTTTCCTTCATGTTTGAATGTGTAAATATTAAATGAATTAAGGGTTTTAAGGTTATGATTGTTTATAAATTTTCATAAATTAAATTAAGCCAGTTAAATATTTGAAAGTGTTAAAATCCCTAAATTAAGACAAAATAAATTGCTTTCATCAAATAATTATGTATTAATAACTAGAATACTTAAATAACCCAAGCTAAATATTGTTATGGTATTAATCATCCTAAACAATTTTGCTCATGTAACCTAGACAAATATTAAAGTTTAGTTGTCAATACACAAGCAATCTATCATAACCTCTCAACATTAAGTAAGTTTCGCACATTAGAGAAAAATAATTAGGCTAACATAATCAGAAGAAACACTACAGACTTTTGAGTTTCGGTTAGCTCATTCTAATAAACCTTTAAAGATAAACAATGTTGGAAATTGCTAGAATGTTTAGCAAGAATGATAAATAGGAATCAGTAAAGAATGACCTTGAGCCTTGCTAGCACTAGGACAGGATCTTGCTTATCTGAGACCACCAGTGACCTTCCTAGTATATAGTAGTGCGTAATCAGGTTTTCCAATGGATACGCCTGGTTTTCTCACCAAACTGTGCAAA